TAATCAATCACTACCAAAATAAGTTTATTTTAGTGAAATAAAGGTCAGCACAGGTTCATTATCAGAGGACATGTTGCTGATATCAAGAGTAAAAAGGACCAGTGCTGTATGTTTAAGCCTGTGAAGCCTTAATCTGTGTTATTTTTCTATGCAAATATTTTGTATTTTTGTATGTTTTCAAAATCATTAGCACGGACACATCATTAATCACAGTGTAATATATATATGTATATATCTAATCACTTTATTTTTCAGCAACATGTAAAGTTTCGAGTGTACTTGTCATGTTTAATGTTCTTTTTATAATGACATTTTTAAGCATTACTTTGTCACCTTTTAATTGATCTTAACTATGCATATTCTGTTAGTACAAGCTCGAGCTGGACTGGAGTCTTGCTGACATGTAATAAATAAAAACACAAACTATCAAGAAGATTTTTTGCTATTTTGAGTGTTTCGTTTTTTAATTGCAGGGAGTGTAATTAGAGCGGAGGGGTGTACAATGAACTCAGATCAATGGCTTAGCAAGGTACAACGTATATCTCTGTTTACCTGGATAAATCACCATTGTAAGTTACGCTGAACACTTAATATAACTTGTTCCTGACCAGGTCTAGAGTTTTGGTTTAAAACTGCCTGGATGGGACAGATTTTCATTGAGTCTTTTATCGGCAGCATGTTAAAATACTCACTAACAGTATTCACTGTTAGTGAGAACTTCATGCAATTTTCAAAGATTACTTCTAAATATCTATATGTTAAAATATTGTGTTCACTTAAAAATAGATATATGTATACGGAAAACATCACACTGGAAAACAACCAGCAATTTATTAAAAAAAAAAAAAAAAAAAAAAGAAAGAAATTATTAGCCATCAGTGAGCCAGTCACAGTCTTATAAACAGAGACTGTTACAAATTCTTTGTTCGTGGATTTTGTTTTTAGTTGGTATTCCCTGTTTTAGCTACAAGCTAAGTTGCTGTTTCCTGATTGGCTGCAAAATGTTGTTGCATTTACAGGAAGAAGGATTTGATTTAAACTTGCAAACTTGAATGTAAATTAGATGTAAAATTGTCACAAGAGGGCTCAGTAAGAGGATGCAAGTGTGAAGGCCAGTGCAAGGTACATAGACATTAGAAAACATAGAAAGTGTGTGTGACAGTGTACACACAGATCTGGGGGCCAAGCTTTGTCCCAACACACGGACCACAGTTGTTAAAATGATGTGTAGGTTCAAATCTGGGACTCTCCACCATTTGACCTTAGAACTGAAGAAGCTTCTCGGATGAGACGTGAAACGTCTTCAAGCAACTTAAAGAAGTCCAGACGCTTTTCTTTGCAAGCTCTTTTGACTACGATGACCTGGATGACTGAGAACCTTCACAGACAATGCGTAACAGACTTCTGCTATCTATTTCCATTCTGAGTCCCTTCCCAGACGCCCTAATGCCCACTAACCTCCTGGGCCATCTGACCTCAGGAAATCACATTGTTGGGTTTATTAACCCTTTAAGACCTACCATAGAACCAAGTCCGTCAGACCTTATATTATATTTTTACATGCTGTGAGCCATTTTTGGGAGCATTTCAAGTTGCTATACATCAATACAACCATTATAACCCAAATTTTAATAATATGTATGCATTAAGTGCATAGTAATTACATAAATTGCAAAAAAGTGCAATAAACTACAAAAAAATTGAAAATCGTTTTTTTTTTTACATATATTTCTAGTTAGAGAAATTTAAGAGGCTTATCCCTCAAAACTGTAAATACAAAAAAGTTGCACAAAATAGTTTCCCACCACAGGAAATTTATTTTGAGTGTCTTCATAGTTTTATTTTTGAAATACACCAATTTTTATATACTGCAGGAAAAACAAAAATAAATATTATAGTGCAAATTTGCAAAAAAGCAGCATGTGCATCAAAATAAACTATTTCCAGCAGTGCAATATGAGTCCTAAGCATCCCAGAAACGACACAGAAAGTCATAAAGTCAAAGATAACTTTTAAAAACACCAGTATAGGCTCATGAGGCCCTGATGGTAAAAAACTACATTTCTGCGAAAATGACGTCACTTCCGGTTTTCGGGCAGGTATGGCGGACATGTGAAAGTTCGCGCTGACGTCTATTCCAACGTAGGAAGTGTTACAAACAGCTGATTGGATCGGCAAAGCGTGTTTTTGGAATATTAGTAATGCAAAACAGAGCGTGCCCGCTCCGATCGGTTTTAAAGGGTTAAAGTACAAAACCCCACTGGAACACAAGACCACCAACTGCACGGCAAAAACAAGACACAAGTCAGAGCTCTTTGTCTCGTGGGCCGCGTGGGAAGTCAGTCAAGGCCAAGTTCACCTTCCTTTCTTCACCTGTCCTTAGCCAACTTCAACTGACTCCCTGTTATTGTCAACAAGCGGTCATACGTGAATATGCAATTACAAATACACATGACAGTCTTAAGCAGGCATATCTGAGCAACAGCGTTATCTGTATTCAGTGTGTGTGTGTGGATGCATGCGTGTGTGTTTTCAGCCATACCATACATAGACATACTTCCTTATCAACCTTTCCAGTTGCACCAAACAACGTGAACTTAACAGGTGTATGAGGTATGCTGAAAGAGCAGAAACGAGCATCTCACTAAACTATAAAACAGGAACTTGCAATAGGTCATATTTCAAATGAACATTTAAAGCTGTGAAGTCTTGCACTTTAATAGAATAGAACAGTCTGTTTCCTAAAGCTATAATGGAAATTATAACGTCGAGACTGCTTCCTAGTAACAATAATAATATTAATAACAAGGTGCAATAAATACACTCTTCTTCTTTTCATAACTGAAATTAGTTACTGTGTTGTGTTGTACGCAGTGCCGATGTGGGACAGTTTTCCAATTTCATTGTACTATTGTACTATGTATAACTGTGCAATGACAATAAAGACTTATCGTATCTTATCTTATATTAAATAGCATGAATTCAGAGGCAATTCTTGTATGTAGGTCAAAAGTGATCATACTATAAATTCGATAAAGGCGACTAAGCTGGGCAAGCCTTAGGTAACACTTTACATCTATGTCACATCCCAGCTGGCTCCGAGATACAGGAACAGGAAGTATGACATATGCACCATAATGATGTTTGACTAACAAATTAGTCGCATTCATCTACAAACTGTCACTGCTTAAGTTGTCTGACCAGAAACCAAACTGATGCTGAGTGGTGCTCAAACAGGCTTAACTGAAAAACAGGAATGCAACTCAGAAAATCAGTTCCAGTTTTGCAAGATCTCTTCAGAACAACAGTGTTTAAGACCAGTAACGCTTCACCTATTGCTTTTGTTTAAGTTTTGAAAAGAAGTGGGAAGAAGTACACACCTATGACCTTTGTTATGCGTCTCATCAGTAAACATTCATCCATCAGTAAACATTCATCCAGTCTACTTCAAGTTCAAATTTGAAGTAGACTTCAATTGTGAACTCTTGACAGGAATGAAACAGGAAAAGAGACATTCACTGACACTAAACATTGTCTTGTTTATATTTCATAAAAACAAGATCTTTAAACTTCCTTTTTTAGTACTTTATGTTTGCGCATTGTTTTAATTTCACTGTCTTAAAGTTACATTTTCGTTTTTTATCAATGTTTTAACAGAAGAACAGAAATGTATACATTTTCCTTTGTCTCTTATAATGAGACAAACACTCTGTGACCTGAAGTCTTCAAGGATAACAAACACTGAAATTTTTACATAATACAGCATCTTCCATTCATAACTTCCTGACGAAGAGTCCACTGAATTTCAGGTTAAACTGGCCTACCTTGGGAGTATGCATTGAGCCTTTCCCTGTATGATTTCTACCCATGACTACCAAGCTCTCCATGCAGAAAACACCATTACCAAATTTGCAGATGACACAACAGTCAGTGGTTTGATCATCTATAATAATGAGATGCCATACTGGGATCACTGCTGAATCTGGCAGCTCTGAATTATCTTATCCTCAACACCCAGAAAATAAAGGAGATTGTGGCGTATTTCAGAAAGAAGCAGCGACCTGAGCGACCACGGGCAGCAAACCCTCAGCTTCATAACTCTGGTGAGAGCTCCAACATCACAGAGGCCCTCCCCTGGTCTAATCACACCTCTGCTGACATCTGCAAAACACAACACCTCTACTTTTATTTACCCTGGGGAGAATCGGACTGTTACAACACATCCTCAGCTTTTGCCGATATACTGCAGACCGTGTTGTCACTTGCATCACAGCTTTGGTATTGTATGACAGCTGAAGTAAACAGCAACACAAGGCAAACAGATGTCGAAAGGACTGCAGAAAACAGTCATCATTGACCCATAAATGCGTCCTGTTGAAGACAACAGTGGTCTAGGTGGTAGCGCCGGTATTATTACTGATGACTCCACTCAGGAAGGCGTTTCAGGATTTTCCACTGACACACCAAAAAAGCTGATAAGCAGCTTCTGCCAAAATGGACTCTTAAAACTACAACACTTTGTTTGCACTCTGCTACTGTTACAATCACACGTTATACTCTATTGTTAATTTTTGTTTTACTAATTAACTTATGTTATATACCTAGATATTTTTTTCCTACTGGGTGATTATTTATAAGGAATCCCTGCCTATGTTTTTGTTCTTTTTTATCTTCTTGAATTTTGAATCGAATACCATGCCTTGCACTTTTTAAAACAACAGCAGAGGTTATCAGGAACTTGGGTTTTTAACATCCACTGGGCTGCAAGTGACGTGTTTAAGATAAGGGCACATACATATATAGAAAATTCCTTGGAATTCTCACCTATCTGGCATAACCACAAGGACATTTAGGAGACATAAACATAATAAACTGAGTTAAAAATGGTTTTGTTTGTTGGTTTACATATAAAAGAAAAAAACACAGTTAAAGCAAAAAGCAGTCACCTGTTATATATCTGATCCTTCAGTTAAAGAGGAAGAACTCTGAACTCTGTTCTTTGTTAAAACATCGTCCTGGTTCACACAAATGGTTCTGGAGTCACAATTTAAACATGTTTAGGTCCTGCAGTCATACTTGTTCTGAAATAATGATAATTAAATCATCTCTTGTCTCTTGCTAGAAAGTTACAATTTGAGAAAGCCAGGTTTTATTCTTTTGCTCGCTATGTTCAAGTGATTCGATTTGTTGTACGTGCCAGTAGAATCACATATTCAGCTGTTTGTTTGGACAGATTCCAGCTCGGATCAAACCTGCATCAACTGGCTCAACCGGTTAGACAAAACATCAGAGATATGGTGCAGAACGGTTGACAGTATCTAACGTGGACAAAATGAAAGCAAGAAACATAAAAATAAAGACATGCCTGGTGGTAGACAGGTATGGAGAGTATGACACTATCGTAGGGATGTTTTCATATCTTCCACACCCAATCAGAAGGATACACAACATTTCCGGAAGCAGTCATTTACAAAGTCTGATCAGAATGGTTCGAATTAAAGGGAAACTTACTCAATGAACCTGCACAGCAGATAGTATACCGGCATCCTACTGAGTCCTACGCAAACAGACTGACATATTTAATGCAAAGAGGGATGACAACTCCGGGAATGGATTCAAACCTTTTCAGTGGACATTTCTTTTTCTGAAGAGTCTTGGACGTTTTAAGAGATCTCTTCAGAACAACAGTAAGTGGTTCAAAACAGCCTCAGAAGTGACTTAGACCTGCTTTATTTCTCCCTGTTCTCACACTCAGTGGCTTTCAGCTTTATTACCTTCACCAAGAAGGTTATGTTTTTGATATAGTTTGCATTGTGTGTAAATACAATAACTACAAAAGTTTTCAATGAATTCTGATAAAACTGTAGCGTTTCAGAGCAGGGTAGTGTTAGCAGTTCATTAAAATCTGCCCTACTCACAAAGGTGTTCAAGGTCAACTTAATTGGTTGAAAAGTATTATAGCTTGGAAAGTATGGTTCTCAAAAGTGTCATGCATATTTTCAACATATAGAAGGTAATATGGGATTTTGAAGGAGGAGATCAAAGAACAAAAAATCAAACAACAACTGCGGAATTATTCTGTTGACTGTATTTAAAAGGTACCTGGACTGTTCATTTTCAGAGACCGCTCTCAGTGCCACCTTCACTGTCTTTCTTCATGCAGGACATAAGAGAAATAAAGGCATTGCTCTAAATGACAGGCTAAAAATATGTGTTGTTCTAATTGCAGAGAAAGCATTTTGCCTCTTCCCCATCTTCAAAGACAAACAACAGACTCCACCATCTCTGGGATTCTCCCCGTTTCCCGACATACACTCAGAAGCTGTTTATGTTTATCGGCGTAAATTATAGTGTAAAACAGACATACTTGAAACAAGTGACATCAAAGCACTGTTATTTAGGATTGTGACCAACACATCAAAGAAATTCCAACAAAGCTTCTTCTAACACACACAAATCTACTTTCAATGTAAAAACAAGTAAGCCTTGTTTTGATATTGGCCTTGAAGTTTTTCCTCTTGAGTTGAGATTTTGTTGTTAGAAAACAAACTAATACTGCTGATGGTGCTCTTTCGAGTGAGTGCAGAAAGTGCTTCCTCTTCTGTGTTATGTCTAGTTGTTGTCAGGGCAGTGAATGACAATTCAGAGGTCAGGGGTCTTGAGTTCATGTTCACAGCATGAATTGAAAGCTTTCTCGGTGCTTCTCAGTGTGCATCAGTGCTTGTGTGTCATATGACATAACCTTTAGGAATTGATCGCATCCGCCTTGTTCAAGTAGCTTGGAAAGAAAAGTCTGGACTTCTTTAAGTTGCTTGAAGATGTTTCACCTCTCATCCGAGAAGCTTCTTCAGTTCTAAGGTCAAATGGTGGAGAGTCCCAGTTATAAGCCCTGTGGGAGTAACCCACCGAGAGGGACAATGATCCCCTAAATGATCCTCTAATTAATCACATGAGCCAAGGTGTGAAAGCGGGTGTGGGTCACAATCAGCCAAGGTTTTGGGTGAGCTCATTGTGGAACCTAGTCCCACCCTATCATGTTATTTCCTGAGGTCAGATGGCCCAGGATGTGAGTGGGCGTTGAGGCGTCTGCGAAGGGATCTCAAAGATAATCTGGGACTCTCCACCATTTGACCCTAGAACTGAAGAAGCTTCTCGGATGAGAGGTGAAACGTCTTCAAGCAACTTAAAGAAGTCCAGACACTTTTCTTTCCAAGCTTCTTAGACTACGATGACCTGGATGATTGAGAACCTTCACAGATATATCGCATCACCTTGTTTTAGTGTAAGTTATTCACACGTATTCCTTTTATCTTTCCTGTTTAATATTCTGAAAGTAAATAAACGAATGAAAAGAGGAACACTAGCTATGACACGAAATGACATATTAAATTCAGTTGGACAAGAATAATGTCTTAATGTCTTTCCAGTTTTGTTTCGTAATGATGATGTGACAATATGTATCAATAAACCAAACTACAGAATTCCAACAATTATTACAGTTGTTATTTTAATATCTGCTTTTTTATGCCAACACTAACAGGGAATTTTAGCAAAAGTAAGCACCCAGGGGCACTCAATTTTAGAATTAACCTTGCTCCATGATATTAGGAAAATAAGACTTCAGAGAACTGAACGGTAGGAACTGTAGGACATTTTGACAAGTTGTAGTTTTGGTGCTTGATAAATTTCACGACCATATATTTTGAAGTTAACCCTCTCAGGCCCAAATTAAGTTTTTTGTTGCTAATGCACAACCAAGTCCTGCAGTGGTACTTCTGAGTAAAAGAAACTCATAAAATATGTATGTGGAGTAATCAGGTTGTTAGTTTTTAACTGTTGCAAATCTGCAACGTCTGCCTGGAGAGGGTTAAAACACAGAAAAAACCCAAAAACGCTACGGAGCTTTATGGAGTACTATTGAGAGGCAAATGTTACAGTCCCATTTAGTGGAAGGAGAGCAAATTATAAACACAACTTCCAAGAAATAAGATCTTCTTTAGTTTTATAAATGTGCAAAGAAATAATTAAATAATATATAAATATTTAAATAATTAGCATATCTTAAGTCAGTTTTTAAAACACATGTTATGAAACCACATTGAAAATCTGACAGGTAATGTAAAGGCAATGTAAAGGGTAATGTAACACCCTTGTCTCAATGTCACATATGCCATACATACAAAGCACAAAGCCACAATGTGTTGACATAGCAGTACAATAGATCACAAACAGAGCGTTGAGTCCTTTTCCTTTAGTACCTACTCGGATCGTCTCGCTTCTGCTCCATCTGCTGGTCCATGGACAATAAATAAATACATAAAAAATACAGGCACAGAAATAAAGCGAAAGAGAAGCTTCATCTACAACCCACAGTCAGAGAGGAAGAATTTTGTTCTTTGTTTAATAAACCTCTTCCTGGTTCACAATCAATGTGTGTGTATTGCTATGAAAGAGGTTGCCACTCCTTATAGACACACCCAGTGGTTGCTTGAACGGTGCTTAAACTGTTGGCAGGTTTGGACAGGTATTCTATAGCAAAACAGCTGACTGTACCTGTCCCAGCTGAGTGGGACAGGTAGACTGACATCTTTTATTTATTTATTTAAAAAAGGGAAACAGCTGCAGTAATTTAAACTTTCTTATCTTTTAGTGGACAATCTCTTTTCATCCTGATGCTTAGAAGAGTGCTTGTGTTTTATGAGATCTCTTCAGAACAACGGTAAGTGCCTTAAATACTGACCCAGTTAGAAAAACATTAGAAAACATTAAAGGTTAATTTTGAAGATGTCGTAAAACATGCACCTTAGTATACTTACCTTTTTTTTCTAAAGTGACAATTACAATTGCTTTAACCAGTTCAGAATTTTATACTGAAATTTGAATGTAACCAAATACACAAACACTGAGTATACATAGAATAAGTGGTGCATTGCCTGCTGATCTACATCTACACCAAGCTTTTTATTCTTAAGTCCAATTGTCTAACATTGTTCTCTAAATTAGTTTATTGTGTCTCCAGGCTCTTCTCTTGATTCCTGGGTGTGTTTGCATCTTCTTAAAACATGGACAAAAAGGAAGGTGAGAAGCTCAACACATAATAATTCACACAGAACACAAATTCACATTTTTAAAGTGCAATATTGAGTCATTTGCATCAAACCTGAAAAAAAAAATTTCCGGTATTTGAAAACCTAAAATGTTTCAGAGCGCTTACTTTCTGTATTAATTTTGTCGTTTCTGTTCTTCACAGGTGCACATCAGGTATTCAGTGATGTTGCATCACTGATGGCCCTTGCTGGTGATAAATGTGTGTTTTGTCAAAAGAAAGAACGTGCAAACAAGGATCACCTTCACAAAAAGCATCTCAAAGATGGAATTTATTTTTTGGAAAAAAAACAAGGTAAGGACTAGATGTATGTGTAAACAAAGTGGACTTGGGGATTACTACACACTACACTATTCTTCAATTTAGTATTTAAATGTTTGTCTTGGTTATTAGTTTGTCATTATTTAAATCAGTTTATAATTCCCCTGATTTTCTCGAGGCATATTTGTTTATTTGGCTTAATTTGTTTGCTGTTAGTAATCTGCTTGTGTTCCTTTTTAGTCTTCTCTTAAGAAAAAAGGGACACGAGTATTAACAGTGCATATTATAGGTGCACAGCTGTGTAAATATGAATTGTGGTGTATAAAAAGTTACAGAGTCCAATGATGTGTGTTTAGTCTAGTTTAATTATTTGTAGGTCTGCTCCACGTGGATAAACCCACGTAATCTCATTCTGCTCTTATTATTTGCAGGTCCCTTTTCGAAGTCTAGTCTAGTGTGTGTATGTGTGTCTCCAGAAAAAAAATCTTTTGGCCAATTTGGATGTTTGTCATGCTGTGTGTGATAAAATATGTGTATTAGTTTATGTGCGTTGCTCAAAATAATTAAAGAAATATGTATCAGAGTAGAGCCCTTAGTTGATTATTTTCAGTGCCATTAAAATGTTGTGCCAGCCTTTCATTCCTAACATATTGCCTAGTCCATATCAGTGCAAATATCCAGTATGAAAACTTTTTCTTTTCAACTGGCTTTTTTGGTCCCTGGATTGCCAGTATGCCTTTCTCCCCAAGGTGTCACTGACTAGGTGACTTTGTATTAACCATTTCATGTACTGAAAAGCATTTACTCGCTTGTTTTTCAGAGAAATTTGTGGTGGCCTGCTATTGTAAGGATGTCAAAGGAGCAAAGAGAAGCCATTATCATTGTCCGTTGTGTAACTTTGCAATTTTAACACGATCTTCTATCTTCACGAAACATTTAAAAGACAGACATGGTAAGAGTTCTGCTATGGCATCCGCAAATATCCACAGATCTTCTCAGCATATAACTACCAAGAAGGGGGAGAATAGCTATCTTTTAGTGAAGATGCACGACATCATTAAAGCATGTTCTTTTTTATAGAGGTCTTTAAAGTTAAATTTAAACGAAAAGACATCCATATTATTATACCAATATATAACATACTTTGTGCCTTATTTTTTCAATTTCTTTATTCTGCAGGTATCAAATCAAGCAAAAAACAAGGTAATTTAACACTATTTTATTTTATGATTATACTGTTATACTTTGATATACAGATAGATAGATAACAGTGATGCAATTACCTCACTGTCATAGTTGTTCCCCATCTTTGAACCCACTCTTGTGCCTATACCTTGAAAAAAGCAACATCAGTTCATGGCAATAATTTATTTTCAGAATGAAACAAAAGCATCTTTATTAGATTTTAGAATGATGTGATTAACAGCTGTTTTTTTTGTTTTGTTTTTTGCATAGAAACCCCAAGCTCTTTAAAAAGAAAGGCTGAAAACATTAGCGATGATTCCCCAGAGGACTCCGATTCAAAGCCCGAACATTTTTTATGCACCCCCTGCACAGCTATGATGAGTAAACAGCCACACATAAAAAGACCCATCAGAGAAGTACATCACCTGGACTCTGCACCGATGACATGTATTGATGTTATAAATGGCATTTATGTCACACCAGAACACACAGAAACACAACACAGTCCAGCTTTTCCAATTCACGTCATGAAGTCTGCTAATCCACCACAAATAGACTGTGAGGTTGAGAAGTGTCGCAGGTTCATGCAGATGGCTCGATTTTCGGGAAATCCGGGAAAAGAATGTGTTCATTTAGAAAGAACAAAAAATGCCAAGCCATATGTTAAGCCAGCAGTCCTTACATCAAAATCACTTCAGGACATGTTGAGCAGAGGGCTAATGTCATCTGAGTGGGGCGCAAAATGTGAGGCGCTCGACAGTGCTGCCAAACAATGTGGTGTTGATAGCGTATTTCCTGTGTGTTATGAAGATCAGGGGCCCTCACAACAGTGGTATTTTTTCTCAGTTTTTACAAATGAAACTGACCACTGGTGTCAGTTCCAGAGGACAAGGGTGACATTTGATTCAGTAACTAGAAAATGGAATTGCCAGTGTCAGGGAACAGAACGATCTCAGCAATGTATCCACGTAATGATGGGAATGTGGTGGATTTTCCAGGAGACATCAGAGAACAGCATTATTAGTGAGACATCAAAAAATATATCCACAGCAAAAATATGTAGAATGACAGAATATATTTACACCAAAAAGCGTATTCCACGTCCGAAGGACCTGAAGTTAGGCACTCAAGAGGAAAAACCACCGCCATCTTTTGTTCCTTGGGAAATCACCTGTCCCTACTGTCCAGGGCCGACCCCTCCTCAGCTTAACGCCCCAAAAGTTATCACCAACCAAGCTGTGATATATGGTCTTAGCAATTTCCACAAAGGTAAGTCACAGCAACAACAAAACATGCAAACAGTGTTATGTGTATGCCTTTGGCATACAACTATCTTCAACCTATTACAAAGTACTTTTCTTTAATTATCAGGTGTCTCCGTTGCTATGAAAGAGTGCCCACGGTGTGCTAACACTGTGAGATTTCAGGAGTATTCCTCTGGTTTCCACAATTTTAACAACCACATCTTATTAACACTACCTCTATGTGAACTCCTGCTGTCAGGTTTGGAGGTAAGCCAACTAACAATGAATTGTGGAACCACTATTTGGAAAGTGCATTAAGGAAGTTTATTACAAATAACAACAATAACAAAACATATCCATATTTTGAGAAAATTAATCTCAACATGTTTGGACATTGAAAGCCAATTCTATATGTTGTTTAATTGCAGAACAAGACAACCAGTGGACGTATGCTGGACACTCTGTCAGTACTTAATGACAATCGCTACCACCACCAAATGGTGAAGAAGGCATTCCACCACTTTTTGTCATTATCAGACTTTGACTTCAACTTCTTTTGCTACCAGTGTGGACACCACCCAGCTGTGGTTGTGGCAGATGGCAACTGGAAACTAGGCTTTGATGTACCTCGTAAGGACAATGTCTTTTCTCTTGGAAATGTGTAAACTACTAAATTTCGGTGAAGAATTAGATAAAACTGCATTGTTAACTGTGTTTAATTTCATTTGAAGTTGGATCATTTGAAAGGCCAGATCCAGATACCATATCTGACAAGGATCTTGAAGTGGATATCGTCAAGGCATGGACAGATCTGGACAAATCACTCATAGCAGAAGGCCTTATAGCAGGTTTGTTATAGTGTGAGAACTTTACACAACAATAGTTTTAGGACCGTCTAGAATTATAAAGCACAACACTGTCTCTATTATGAATATTTGTACAAATCAAAAGACTGTGTCTTCCAAATAGGAACATCTGTTGCAAACCCATACTGCAAATCTGTTCACCAGTCTACTATGGCACCATGGATGGGAAAGCACACTAGATTGAGGGATATCCTTCCAAAAACTGAGATTAAAAAGGCACTGAAAGAAAAAAATGATCAGAACATACATTCACCAGAACAAATAATTGAAGACATAATGCTTCAAACCACTGACTCAGAGAAGGTAAAACTAATCAAATTTCTATTTGTTGTTTTTTTTTTTTTTAACATTTACTTTTGTCATTGTTACTGTGGATCTTTCTTTTTATAGAACCAGAAAAAAGAATCCCAGAATGCACTGGGTATGATTAAAGGATTCAAGGAACTACACCCAAAACTTTCCAAGAAACTTCAAAAAACAGGTGATGAGTTTTTTTTTCTCTTTGAACATCCTCAAATTTTTAAAAAAGTACTTTTGACATATAATTTTTTGTAATTTATATATTTTTTAGGTGGTGTACTTCATTTCTCCTGTGTCCATGGTGTTGTTTATTATATCAATTTTCTTTTCTGGATGGAGTCAGCAAGGGACCATGCAGATGGCTTGCTAAGTTTTAAGCACGTTCCAACCTGTTACATTTCTGACATGGCTGGTGAGGTTGCCAGCCACACTAATGACCAAACTAATCAGATGTTTTTTAAGCCACACGATGGAAGACTTTGTGCACCAACCACAGATAATCTAAAACTAGCAACCAAAAATGAACTAAAGGTTGAAATGCAATGGGTGAAGAACCTCAGATTTCCATTACCAGTGAAGTTACAGCAAAATATAAATGGAACACCAGCAGTACATCCAATCACAAGGACATCTGACAGGTATTCACTGTATGATCAATTCCACCAAATAAATCCAAGACATCCAGAAGATAATTTAAGAAGCGTCGTCATCTGCCCAACACTTCGACGAGAGGTCAACTCTGCAGTAGCAAAACAGTTCAATCAAGAGCTTGAATCCATTTGGCAATCTTTGTGCCAAATGAATGAATCCCACTTCAAACAGACTGTGAGAGTGTTGATTGAACTACACAATGAAAAAATTAACAGGACATTTAAGGCTGAGATGGAGGCTTTGGGCAACACACAATTGTCTGTTGGACTGCATGGGATGTTGGGATTTCATACTGCTGGTAGGTTTGACTGATATATGATATAATAATAACTCATAAAAATATCACAGTTTTGTAAGCACAGGTGTCTTTGGCTGGGAAGGTAGAGGATGTCATCTACTAGTGAGAAGGCTATTGTGTTATTCCCCGGCTCCCTTAGTCAATGGTGTTGGTTTTTTGTGTTAGTGTGTTTGGGGGAAAAAATTGTATGAATTTTTGAGTTCGAGCCTTGTAGTAAGCAAACAGTTTGAGTGCTTGAAAAACATGAAATGCGTTGTTTAGACGATAGATCATTGCTCAGTTTTGTTTTGTTTTTTAGAAGGGGAGGAACACAGTGTGTTGAAATCCTCATCCATATCACAATTATATGCCACAAGTGATGATGAGAAGGTAAAAAAAAAACCCTCGTATTGCACTTTGATGTTGACATACGGAACATTATTAAAGTTCTTAAGAGTTAGTATGCTATCTTTCTGTGCGCATAAAGGAGAAACTCAATCAGCTACTCTCTGGATCCCGTGATGAAACTCAAGCCCTGGCTTATGTTTCACGAAGATTTCCAGTCTCAATAAAAGACATTAGCAGCGTTTGCCCACTAGACTTGTTGCGTCAGTCATTATTGTCATCGCCGTGGTTGACAGATGATGTAAGTGCTGAAAAATAAAATTGTTTTTGTTTTTTACCACAATTAAGAGCTTTGTTTGTTAAGAAATCATCTGCCAGCCTCAAATCTTTTTTTCGTAAACATTCCAGGCTGTTAACTATCGGGTGGGGCAGCTCGCTCAAGAAAACAAGGTGACTCATTTTCATTTGTTTCCTTTATGATATTTTCATTGGTCAATGAGTATTTATGAAATGCTTAATGAGATGTTCTATTTGACAGTGTGGTGCTTTAGGCACCTTTGATTTCACTTTGTGGCACCGGGAATGGACCGAATCTGGAGCAGTCAGTGATGAAGTTGCCAAATGCGTTCCGGTAGGTCCTTTTTGCATAATTAAAAACATAAAAACAATAAATAAATAAAAAATCCCAAACATAAATTTACAAAAACAATATTGCTTTTTACATGCTACATGACCCGTGTGCACCTACAACTGTTACGTTTGTGCTACAGGACTCAGAAAAGATATTCCTTCCCAGAATTGTGGGTCATTCTTCACCAGAGACAGGCAACCATTTCATCCTTTGGGTGAGCCAAAACATTTTAGGAAAGAGATTTCAGCCTATAACATTTACTCTTTTTATATTTTTCTGAGCATTTAAGATTATATATGTTTGTAGGTGTTTGACTTCAAAGCCAAACAGATTAGAATATACGACTCACTGATGACTTCCAGCAGCATCAGTGATGATGACATGGACCTGCTCAGGTAAAAGGAGATTTTGTGCTACAGTTTTAGTTTGCAGGTAAATGAATGCGATACTGATGGAGCTGAACTGCTGCCACTCTCTTTTTTAGAAACGTCTTCAGGTTTTCTGGTGGGCTTCAAGGTTGGACAGTCAAATATCCTCCACAGTGGAAGCAGGAGGACTCCGTTAATTGTGGTGTTTTTGTGTGTTCGGTGAGTTTGCTGTCCTGGGAGCTGCTACTTTTGCATGATTTATTGGTTGCTCACGTGTTGGGTCATCATTGTTAATTTTATTTCAAACTAGGCTGCAGAAAATGAAGTCCTACATCACAAGGTCACTGATGATGCTCTGACCCTTAGTGAGTGCAGGATTCTTCGTCTGCACCACGCTACACAAATGCTGAAAAATGTGAAAGCTGAGGTTAGAGAAATAGATATCTGAGTATAACAAAATCTTTACTGGTAGTATATGAAATATTGTGTGATAATATTAAGAGTTTTGTTATTTAGGATTTCCCACCGACTATGGAAGACATGTTGAAGATTCGACAGAAAGAAATGGAAATACAAGAAGCTGGAGTTGAACAGACCGACTCAGGGATTCATTGCATGGCCATGCAAATAAAGGCATGCTTGTTCCAGAGAGTGACTGGGAAAACCAGGTGTGCATAACAACACTGACAACTAAACATTATTTATGTATCAAACATTTGAGAATGAAAGTTACTCTTTTTTTTAAAACATGGTAGAAATTTAAAATTCACTTTGATTTTCTACAGTGTTTTTCATGACCACAGAAATCAATGTATGTGGCTACTGTGCACTGTCTGCAAAAAATGTCTGCATTTTGAGTGTGCTGGTGTGGAGGGAGACTCGAAAGACTGGGAATCAAAGGGTTTTGTTTGCGGATGCAACCTTACAACTAATGTGTAAGAAACTCTTGATTTGAATATCAGTTACTGTCATACTGTTGTTGTAAGTTTACATATGGTCATCATAAGCATTAACATTTAATTTTGTGTAATTTTGTGGTTCGGTAATGATTTCTTTAAACTATTCTTTTTCCAGGGTGGAATGATTGCATCACAAATATCTTGAATGACTTAAAAAAATGTAGTGCACAATTTTTATTTTAGATTTTCTCTGGTCCACAGAGTCAAAATTGTACATAAGGGCTCAAATATAGACATATACTAAAGTGTTTAAACAAGTGGTTGTCAAGGTTCTATGGTGCTATTTACCTTGTCAAGGCTAAGGCCTATTACCTTCTCATTTCTGATCACCCAAAAGTAATTTATTTGACAGCACTTATTGGACTGACCAATACTCCGAATAATGAGAAAGTCTAAGTGAAGATATAAGAAGGAGAATTGTAAATTTACACAACTTGCGAAGGTCTTTTAAAACGGAGTCCCTGCTAGGGCCGTAACACTGAGCTATTTAGGAAAATATGTGTTTGGAGGACTAAAAAGCCAAAAACCAAGAACATTATGCCAAAGGTCAAGCATTGTGGTGATAGCATCATACTCTGGGGGTGTAAGGTGCCCTGGTATATTGTTACCTGGTATATTGGTACAAGTAGGTTGACTAATGAAGAAGAGGGACTACCTCTAAATTCTTCCAGTTTCCGTCAAATTAGCTGGAAGGTTGAAACTTAGACACAATTGAGTGTTCCAGCAGGACATTTATACCAAAAACACATCACAACTCATTTTGGAATGCATAAAACAGTCTAATATTATTAAGCTTTTGGAATGGCCTCCCTAAATCCTCAAACTTAAATTTTTTGGACTATGCTAAAGAGCTGAGTAAAGAGCTCCAAGCAAAGTCATTAGGCTTAAGAACTCTACTAATTTTTCCAATACTCAAATATCAAGTCAGAATTTTGATTCTGTGCGGCTAAAAGAAAATACCAAAATAAATTCAAACTAGTGCACCCAATTTTTGTATTTGTTGAAACAACTGTAACCCACATAATTTCCTTAAGGATCAACAAAGTTATTTTATTTTACCCTGGAAGCAGAACAGTAAAAAAAAAAAAAAAATCATTAGAATCCACAAATTACCATGACAACCATAAGTGTAGGTAAACATCTGACCTGTACAGTATAAAGCTTTAAATACAAATGTTGCAGATTGTGGTTAATTTAAGGCTCATGGGCAATGCTTTTGTCTCAAACAGAGGTGACATGCTGGAGGCTGTTACAGTTACAGAAATCCTTTCAGATGAAGAAATTAAGGTGATTTAATGCATTCTAACGTTTCTTCACTAACCTGTATGTCATGTTATCAGCTACCATACATTTAAATCACATTTTATATTCTAATATTACAGGATTTGGAAAGAAAACTGCAGAGTGGACTTGTTCTCTCCAATCGGATGTATCTGTGGAATCACAGAGAATTTGATCCTGAACTTTGCAAACATTACAGTGAACATTTTACTTTATTCAGTGACATAAAGGTATGTATATTCAGTGTTTATGATCTTATTCACACTTACAACTTGAGTTTAGCATCCATAGTAATCTGTAGTTTTTCACTCAAGTATGTTTACATAACCTAAACATTTCAGGATCTTTACATTAAAAAATATAAAGTGTCTTGAAGCAACTGTTGTTGTGATTTGGTTCTATATGCATAAAAACTGAACTGCAGTGCACTGAACAGAAACAAATTCAAAAAAACAGATTTTATATCATGCCCTTCAACTATTAATCTGCAAAAAGTCTACCCAACATTTGGCCCCCCTCAGCTGGGGCCTCTAGCCCTGCTGCGACAGTAAACAGAAAATGTAGTTAAATAAGTGGATGGATGAATGTATCCCATAACAGGATTAACATAACTAATAAGCCAAAACTCTAACTGCATGGCAACATCTGCATAATAACACTGAAATAAGCCATTCTAAGGCTTAGTAATGGGATGGTAATACTACAAAAATATATAGTTTTATATTCATTTTACTACCATGTATTTTAAATGACTTTAAGACACTTTGTGACAATTGTTTATTGTTTTTTACATTTATTTCATTAGTTCTATACATTGCACTATACAAGCAAATTTTACTTTTACTTGGTGATGGTGGCAAGAAAAACTTTGTTGGACATTTTCTTAACCAGTAAATTGTGTCATGGCGGGGTGTGTAGATGAGGTAGACCCAAAAGCAGACACGGTGGAGACAGAACTAAGTTTCCAAAAATAAAGTGAGCCTTTATTGTGGCTGATGGCATGAGAATAACACTAGAGACACACCGAAACTGGGAAAACTAAGGGGACTAAGAACACTGTGTAAATTAAAAGACTATGACACTCTGTGAAAACAACTATGAAAAACTATGAACACAGAGTATCTAGGAATGCTATGAAACACAGTGAAACAATGAGGAAAAACTATGTCAGACAACCTGACAAAGAACAGTAAGAGACAAAGGACTTAAACATACACATAAGGTGATCAGGGGGAGTGGAGACAGATGAGGAAACAGCTGACTAGGATGAACATAATGATGCACAGGAAATGTAAACCAAAACACAAAGACATGAAAACTGGACTTTTACAATAAACAAGAAAACATGACAAGATGCAGGCATGACACAAACTTGACAACATTAATCAGGCAGGCAAGAAACATGACCAATAATACATTTAGCTCTGTGGGAGTGGGAGCATATTCGAGCTGACAGTGACAGTGCACCAGACATGCAACCTGTGTCCTATGCTTTTACCCCATGTCTTCTGTCCTTTTTGGTATTCCAGACAGAAGAAATGATCCAAAGACTTGAAAGAATTCTGTCAACGCCAGTGGAGGAGCAGCTATACCTTAGAGAGGTCATTTTGCCAGAGGTGAGCCGAGAACAAAAAAGATCAAAGATTGAAAAAATGTTGTAGATATTCTGAACGAATGATATGTGTCAGAAACAGACAAGCATAATTTAGGACATGTGGTTTTTACTATAATTAATTTCTTGAACGGAGAATGAAAACTGCAGAACTTCAAGTGAACATCTATACAAGAAATACAGCTTAAAGGTGGTAACTTTAACTTTATTGTTGCTAAGGTTTTGATTCGATGGTTGCAAAGCAGCGGGAAAATGTGCAGATACCAAGCTGAATCTATACTTCTGGAGGGCACATCTTACAAAGGCATGGAAATGTAAGTTCCATTGTTTACATTGTAGGTTTACTCACAGTTTAATCTGATTGTGCTGACTGAGTGTGGCAAAGGATAATTACTCACGTTTGTATTTTTGTTTTTTCTTAATCAGTACAAGAGAGACAACAGCTGGTGATTCTGGACACATAGAAGATGTAAGAGAAAACACACACAGACACACTAAAAATTACATAGCAAAACACTTTGTGTAAAAATCGACACTCGAGTGTCCTTGTGTGTGAGTTTCAACTTGCAAGTTAAAAAAAGAGGAAGGCAAAGTCTGTGATGTACGAGCATTGTTTTGTATTTTACATGTAATGGTATTAATACTGTCAACCCTTTGTCTTTTTTTTTCTGCAGGAAAACACTTTTCAAAGTGACTGCAAAGCTGCGGCTGCTTTTTGCTACAACAAGGACTTGGATGGAAAAATTGACCTTCCTGAGGTCAAATTGGAAGAAGAAGACATGCAGATCCAGGAGGGTGGTCACCATGACGATTCCCAAGGAGAAAATGTCACATTTGTATATCAAAAAAGCGATGACAGTGACAGCGCTGAGACAGAACTTACAATTTCTAAAGAAATCTTAGCCATGTTCAAGAAAGAAAATGAGATTCCTGACCTTAACCTTTCAGGCCCTAACTTTATAAGTACTTGATTTCTGGTTTATGTTTGTTTCTCTTCAGTCTGTCTTTTGGGTGGCTGTGGCTCAGGAGGTTAACCAGGTCACCAACTAATCAGGTTTTTGGTTTAATCCTCCTCTGCTGCAGTCCTGCATGCCAAATATCCTGGGGCAAGATAGTAACCCCAAGTTGCTTTTATATGAATATGAAAGCATGTGCATGTAAGATAGAATACACTTACATAGGAAAAGCATTTTTAACAATTGTATGGATGAAGTAAATTGTGCAAAATCATTTTAAATGCTCAGACTTGAAGAACTAGTCCATTTACCAGTCAGTGTCCATTTGTCTACCTCTGATTCCTGAGCGCCCTGTCTGTGTCTGGCCTTAATGCTCTGTCTACGTGAATACCTTTGTTGAAGCACTGAAGCACCAGGGTGACCATCCGCGGCGCCATCTTGGTAAAGTTGTACCTTATCCCTGTATTTTCTCCCTTCCTGTTCCCAGGCTCATCTCTCTGTCTTTTCCTCTGTGTCTTTGTCATGCCTACGAAACAGACATTTCAACACTGTGTTAAGCTTCTGGAGCACAGATGTTTTGAAACACTGCTCCAAAGCCTGGTTCAAAGCACACAGGGCACATGACTGCAACTAAATGAAGTGTTGGTATTGCAGTTTCGGCAGGTGTCTTACCTGCTGCTTCGAAGCATAGCCAGTCGCAAGGATTCACATTTTTCTATTAACCAGAGTCTTTAGGACTTGTATTTATTGAATTAATGCTTATGATACAACTGTGAATGCATGAAACAAAATGTTGCACTCTCTCATTATTATTTTTGCTGTGGACTGTGAAGACCAAAATAGACTATCCACTCACTGAAACACTGGAATTCAAAGTGTAATTAAACAAACATTATTTAAATAGATAGAAATAATATATAAATATTTTTACTTTAATGATTACTGGCACATAGATGAGAGAAAGCTAGAGACAGAGACTGGTGAGTGGGCTTCATCCCCTCCCATCAGCAGAGCGACAGAGCAGCTCTAGTTTTTTCTACTTTCTGATGTTCGACACACATAAAGAATATATTTATAAATTTAAAAAAATGCTAAACAAACACATTTATCAATTACAGGGGATGTATTTCTTAACATTTTTTATGACAAATGTTTTTTTTTCTTTTCTCACTGATGCTCCATTTGTTAATACCTCAAAAACAACAGGAGTAATGCAGTTTCACTGTAGCCTAAACTCCAACCTCACCATAAACATCATGCCAGTGTTACAAAACACACAGCAACCAAAGCAGTGTGAACTTCATCCTATTTCTTTTCTAGCATATACATTGTGTTGACATAGAGATATTCATGTATTTAAGCTCACAAATTAGTATGAGTGTGGGTGTTGTGTGTATATACTGTCTACATCCCCCTCACTGTATTTACAGTTTCTGTCTGTCAGTTTTCCTCTTAGATGATTTGATCTGTATTGATCTTTTTTTCCCATCATTTAGTCAATAAAGCTGTTTTCTTTTTAAAATTTAGTTCTGTTTGCCATGTCATGCTTTCAGGGTCCTTACGCTGTCCACACACCAACTCTCATGACAGTTCGCACGTAACGGTGCTATTAGTATTTCTTGTGTTCATTCTGACCTTTTGAAATAGTTGATGCGTTGATGTTAATGCTTTGGAAGAATCCAAATTTGAAGTTGTTAGAGCCAGAAGTGACCATAATTTGAACACAGAACGGCTAAGTCATCAGCTAATGCTATTTAGCTTGTGTGCCAAAGTTAATTACTGATCCTGTGTTTTTTCATTAAGTGATTTTTTTTATTCATTAATATTTGATCATGTTATTACAGTTGATGAATGTATGCAAACCTACCACCTTGGTTACACAACCTTCAAAATGGAGCTACCTATAGAAAACTATCCTTTATTATAGTAATATCCTTGGGCAAGACACTTCACCTACCGCCTACTGGTGTTGGCCAGAGGGGCCGATGGCGCGATATGGCAGCCTGGCTTCTGTCAGTCAGTTTGAATGAAAACACACGCTGTTGTGACAGTGATGTACACTGTCTTGTTGGTATATGTATGATTTCTATACATTTTACATCAGATAAAAACTTTGGTCCCTGTTAATGCCCTACCTGGCCCCCTGGCAAAACTTTGCTAGACCCGCCCCTGCACAGTTACCAGCTGTCAGCTACCTAAAAAAGGATCCTGGTGTTATTTGTCAGAAACAGTTCATAACTTCCCTTCAACTCATTCATGTCACCTACTGTACATCATCAACAAAAGAGTCAGAGAAACTGAAGATGTCTTTGTGTGTAAGCGACTAGGGTGAAGACCTTTATTAGATTTCCATGGTCTTCGAGCCCTGAGAACAAACTGCATCACTCATCTGATTGTATCTCTAACATTACTAAATGGCCCAGGAATACTTCCAGAAATCTCTGTAGGTTAACACAATCCACTGTGCCACCTGCAGATGCCAACTAAAGCTCTATGATGCATATTTAAACATAGTCCAGAAGTGCCGTCATGTCTTGTGGGTAAAGACTCATTTGAAATGAACTGTTTCATAGTGGGCAAGTGTTCTTTGCTCATAACGGTCCAAATATACATTATTTTTGGTAATCATGGACGCTGCTTTCCTGGTGCTAAAACGGAGGAAGACTTTCCAGTGTATTATCAGCGCTTAGTTTAAAAGCCAGCATCTCTTATGGTATAAAGGTGTGTAAGCGCAGTATGGGCAGCTTGCATGTTTTAGAAGGAACTATGAATGCTGAAAGGTTTATAAAGCTTTTAGAGCAACATATGCTGCAGTCCAGATTACTTCTGTTCTTAGTTGCCTAAAACATGTCTTATAGGAGCCACTGTAGCTGCGATTATACACTTGAATTGGAAAGAAAGTTCAGCACACCCAGGGCATCTTTGCCTTATCTGGATTCTCTTACCCTAACAGTGGTGATCTGGATAAATGATCACACAAAGCTGATTATCAGCTCTCTAAGTTAACCCAGGGTTTACTCATTCACGTAAGGAATGATGTTGGAAAGCTCTGGCCAACTAATGTACCAGCAGCCTAGTGACTGATTTTACCAAGACAGAGTAAATAATAATATAGGAAAACATGAAGAGGTTACAAATACAAAATACAAGTAACACAACTGCTGTGGATAAGCCTGTGGTGTGAGAGGAAAAGCAGTGTAGCACTTATCAATATCAAAACTTTATCATTAAGACATGATAATAAAGTATAAGAGTATTCTATTAGTTTAATATTAAAATACCATAAAACTATTTTAGTTTTATATATAATCGACCCACACGCTGCAGTGTGATTGCAAACTCTTTACTTTCAGTGTGCTTTTTCAACAAGTTTGTGCTTTCAGGAGCAGCTTTTCAGCTCCTCATCTCTTAGCAGTGCCTTCCTACTGCTGCTCCTGCTCCTCTATGCTTTCGGTGGCTACTCAGGCATGATTAGTGCTCCACCCGTCCCCTGCAGCAGAGCAACTAACCACACCCCACTACAATTAATACTTACAGAGCAATACAATGAAATTAAAAACAAACAAACAAACAGGAAATTGTGTCTAAGAATCTAGCTTACTGAAGCTCATAACACAAGGACACCAGATGCTATTTAAAAAATACAATTGAGTTAATCAAGTAAATAAGTTACCATGGTGATTTACCCCAGTCACCCTGTCTTCATAGTTAAGAAAACCAAGGATTCACCCTGCATGAGACAAAATCCTGCTTTGTAGTACAGGCCTGTGGTCGTGTGTGACCTGTTAACAGTTATAGTTAGGTTCACATTTACGCCATCTAGTGGATCATTGGGGATCTAGTGGAGGCGTAGAAATAAATGAATCAGGAGCTGGCATACATATTGCACAATTCACTGCAGAGAGTCGGTTTATATTTTGACATGTTTGTCACAGACCATGTCTTTGACTGCTGCAGGTTATAACATCACCTCAAGCAACAGGTAGTGAGTACATCAGACTGCTATATGAAAAAATCAATCAACACTCATACAGGAAATATATAGAAGTCCTGTGAAGTACACACAGAGGTATGTTTGTCTTTGCTTATTGTTCAGCATAGATGCTTGGTTTTTCCACAAGGTATATGAAGGTTTTTTAACCCGTTCAGCTCCACCTACAAAATGCATCATCCTTGGTTACAGACTTTAAAAAAAGTCTATAAAGTCAGGATTCATCTGGCTTCATTTAAAGCACTTTGAAGTTAATGATTTGATACCCTGGATGTTTGAAATTGCCTGGATTTAAATAGCTAAACTTTTTGAATTCACACACACCTTTTGTTTTCTGTCAGTGTCTGTGCTCTGTGATATATCAACTTTATTGATTTAGCTGTGTGATTATTGAAAACTGTAGTCGTTTCTTTTCTTTTTTTTTCAGATCAAAGAAAAGTATCAGTCACACTTGGAGAAGATGCCACTCTGCAGCCATCATAATGTTAAAGTGGAAAAAGCCCGGCCTGCAGTTGCACCATGTATTTTACCTCAGACATGACCACATTCATGATGACTACCAGCATGGATTTCTTAAAGGTCGAGTGACACTGAAAGATCCGGAGTGGAAGAAGACAGGAAATCTTTCAGTGATTCTCAAAAACATCACCATGAATGACGCGGGAACATATGAATGCCATGCTGGATACAACAATGATGTGAAGCTCTTGAGCACAGTAAACTTGAGTGTTGTTGATCCTCCAGGTGAGTGAGTAGAGTTGAGTGTGTGTGATCAGAGGTGAAGCTGCTTCGTCGTTGTTGTCGTTGTTGTTGTCGTTGTCGTTGTTGTTGATGATCTACAAAAGACAAACAGGGCCATACCAGTCTGGACACACAGTAGAGAATGAGCTGCAGATTTCAAACATATAAAATCTGTTTCATCTCTGTCAAACCTCCTGTTTTGTTCTGTTTGTCAGTGGCTCTGTGAACTTCAGTGTGTGTTCATGTGTTTTGTTTGAAGATGCTGCTTAATCTTTAACAATGTTCTGTAGTCAAAATGATTCAAAGCTTTTCTTTTCTCAAGAAGGTTCAGAAAGTGTGGAGGTCTGTAATAAGTGACATTTTTAAGTTATGCTAGTGTTCCAGTTTGTCCTCATGGTGGCAGCTTCGTATCTCTGTCATAATGCTGCTGTATGGTAGGCTTAAAAAGCCCAATGCGTTTAAGCTTTCTTCCTGTTAAAGAGAAATCTGTCCTTCCCACTGTCACTGAATGCTTGCTCACAGTGGGGCGTCTGTTTGTTGGGGTTTTCTCTGTAATATTGTAGGGTCCTGAGGTGATTGTTATTATGTTTTGGTCCTCTATAAATAAAATTGAATTCAACTGACCTCACTGTAAACAATTTATTTTCCTGTGTTCAGTCACTGTCAGCACAGAAAAAGAAAGCAAAACCAAACAGAGAGTTTCCTTCACCAAAGCTCCACTAGTCTTCTAGATTTATCACAATTGCACTGTTATCTTTTAAGTCATTTTGAGTCTCATTTTACCTCATTGGAAAAAAAGTAAAGAGAAAAACTGTCACAAACACTGCAGTTGACTCGAGAGCAGGACTCAGAGGAATCAGAGTTCAGTGTGTTTATTTATAGTGGTCACCAAAAACGTGCTACGTACAAAGTGGAAGAGGAAAAGGGAACAGGCAACTCTATTCAGCTCAGGTAGGCTCGCCACACTCCAGGGAGGTGACTCGGTGAACATCTGTACACAGGGAAACACGAGGTGAATTTCTTCAATGCTGATGAGATCATCAATGACTGGTCGGGGATTTCCTCAGGTGCATAAAGCCACCGGCGGGAATCCAAGAGAACAGACAACAGCAAGTGATCACAGATAGACGAGAGGAGAGACAGAAACTGAAGCAGAGAGAAAGAAAAGATGAAACCTGGTGACATCAACCAGGAAGAAGCAAGTAAACGTGCACATTTAAGGAAGCTAGAGTCATGAGATAAAGTGTTTTTCTTTTGTTAATCATGTGATGTAGAAAAATAGATCACATGGTTGGTATTTTTAATGATTTAAAGCCTTGCCGTAATGGTCTATTTATTCACCTTTTATTGTTTTTTTTATTTGTTTTTTATTTTAACTTGCTAGATACGGGACAGACTTGAATGAGGAAAAGAAAAGGGAGAAAGGAAGAGGGGGGAAAGACAGCGAAGAAGAGGGACGGGGATAAAGGGCAAAAAAACAAGAAACAACTAAATAAGCAGACAAAAAAATAAAAAGAAAGTTTGAGCTCGCTCTATCCTCACTCTCTATTTGACTAATTATTTAGCATGCTGGCTTTAAATTCAAATTTTATTCAAATTTGAATTTAAAGCCATTTATATGTTTGTGTGTGTGTGTGTGAGAGTGATACAAGTATTCTGAGGGAATTTTAGGATCATGCTGTTAACACATATTTATCCTAATAACTGATCTTTTAGTAAAGCTTCTGTACAGTTATGGTTACAGGTGATCTTCTCAGCCCAGAAACACTCAGCCTTCAGGGTTAATACAGCCTCGAGATTCATCTAAACACTATATAAATGATGACAGAATTTTATCAGAAACACGTATAATCATTAAAACATTTTTATTTTATTTTAAGCAGTGTTTTACAACATGCACAAAAATGTAAATAAATAACAACCAATGACAAAAAAATTAAATAAAAGTCAAACATTTGGAAATTTGCTCATTGTTAGATTACTTAGAACTGTTGACTCATGTGGGAAAACGTAACTTTTCGTGTGACTTACTGTCACGTGATCTATAACCACCTTCTTGTTGATCTACACACAGCGAACATTCCTCCTTCAGAAACTTGTCTCGACATGTTCGGAAAGCTGTTTGAACTGCTATTGTTTGCATCTGTTTCTCATGAAAGAGGGTGTTCACAGTACATACCTGAATCAACTTGTTTACCAGATCAGAATATTTGTGATAAAAATAGCTTTTACAAGTGCAAACAGAAACCCCCGGCTTATTGTGACTTTATTTTTAGCTGCTTGCTTATTTACAAGAAGTCACAACATTTAATTCGGCACAAATCTTATACCCGATTCCCTTCTTGATGCAACCCTTCCAGGGACTTGTGTCTCATCCCAGTATTGAACTAGTGATCCTTCATGTCTTACACAAACATTATGGAGCTATTGAACCCTGCTTATTTCTCCCCATCACTAAAAAATGCATTCAAAACAGTTTTAAATCATTTGATGGACATTATGTTTTAAACACATCAGGGAGGAGTGGAAAGTTAATTTCAAAACTTTCCCTGCTGCTGATACATGCAGCTGTGTAGAACACACACGCTGCTGATCAAGTGCAGATATCTCGTCATATACGAAGTACACACTGGTACAGAATGAATTGCCAAATGTTGCAGCACATTAGAAGACATGGACACAACAGCATCCTCATAGATGAGTACTCACATCATTATTGTCATTGACCAGAAAGTACCACTGAGATCAAGATTACCTGATCAAAGCAGAACCCACACAAAGTTAATAAAAGTCATAAAGAAAGGAAGTGCAACAAATACAACAAAAAATATAACAGCAATAAAATATAACAGGTTTACAGCATAATATACAAAAACATGTGACCCCAAGTACACCACCCACAGATCTTCTTTACTGCATTACTTGTGCTGCACGTAAAGTCTCCATAAATCAGAGTCTCTCTGTAACTGATTCCATATCCAGCGTACATAGTAAGAAAATGCTGTTTTTGACAGATTTACTGTAGGTCCCTCATTCAGAGTGGCTGATTAACTTTAACTATTGGCAGTAGTGCGCAGAAGGGTACAAAGGTGAACTGAAAGTTTACCTGGTGTCACTTTATTGAGAAAAATATCCCAAATCTGTTTTCTGTGAGTGGTCAGTGATGGCCAACCCACCAAATCATAAAGAATTCAATGGCGTGTCAGAGTCTTTGTCTTTTTAAACCTAGCATGCAACGCTGAATCAAGCCACAACATACAAATAGTCACACAATCAATCCATTATTATATAGTAAAAATTCACTAGCTGGGACCACATCTATGAAACTATGAACTGGTGCTGCGGTTTGGGGAAGGCCTCGAAGGGGACTGGAAGCGACTCCCGGGCCAGGCAGATCCCCATGTACTAGCAAGAAGTGAATGACGGCTGGAAGGGGCGTGAATGAGGTCCCGCTCCTGAAATTCAGATGATATCTCCACGTAAAGCAAGATTTAAGATTCCCAACAAGATTTTGTTAGAGAAAAAGAAACTTGTCATCTGTCCATATACCCAAGTACCTCAGATATATATAAGATATAACAATATGTTTACAGTAATATAATTTCCACAGTACTGAAATAAAATGTGTTCCTGAAACCAACTAATTTTATTTGCTACACACATGAATCTAAACCTCCTACAAACACAAAGACAAAAACAGCAGCTGTAACTGTACTGTTATAGCTTAAATGTGTTTAATGAAAAGTAACATGTCCCCTTAATGTGCAAACATAACAACAGTTTTTATGTATATGTTCCCTTTTTCACCAAATAATTAAAGAGATTTTTCACAAAGATGCTGGACACCAAATTCAGGATGTGTTTGATTATCTACAGCTGATGTGTATCTGCTGGTGTTTAGCATCTTTCTTTCTGTCTGTGTCACATCATCTGCCTTTCCTGATGCTTAAAGACATCTCACCTTCCCTTACATTGTTTCAAATGCTTGAACATAGATATGAAGCTTTCATTTTGATTTTTGTTATAATAAACATAAACAGATATAAGAGCTGCAGAAGCTAAAATCACCCCCAAAACTGACAGACCAACAATCAGCCCAGCAGATCCATCCTTTGTCCCTCCTCCTGTCTGACCTGCAGGTGAGAAACAGGTGTGAGGTGTCAGCTGTCAGGTAGGTGATGAGTGAAGAACAGAACAGAATCCATTTCCTCTTCAAACTGCTGTCAGACATTATCTACTGCACTCTGATCACATCACTCAGACCAGCTGCTTTCTACAAAGTCTCATCAACAACATCTTTAGAAACAAACATCAACAAGCAGGAAGCAGCTTCACCGCTGATCACACACACACTCAACTCTACTCACTCACCTGGAGGAACAACACTCAGGTTTATGCTGCTGATGAGGTTCAAAGTTGCTATTTCTTCGTTTGTTTTTCTCTGGGCAACTCGACACTCGTATGTTCCACTATCAGCAGTCGTCACATCCTTCAGAATCAAAGACACGCCTCCATCCCTCATCTGTCTGTCCTGCAGATCCACCCGATTCTTAAACGATGGATGCTGGTTGGCAGGATCAAAACCCTTGTTGCGGTAAAAAAAAACATATTCGTTCTTCAGATCAGTTCTAGTCCACTCTACAGCTGTGATGGTTATGTCGTCATTTGGAGCTCGACATGGCAGTGTCACGCTGTGTCCAGACTCAGCTGTGATGTGTTTTTGGTCTGAAACTGGAAACAACACAGAGCAGAGAGGTTAAAGGGACGAAAGTACAACTGTTCACCTGTACAGCATCCCATCAGTGTGACTACTAAGCTCTGCTGAACTGCAACATGAGGAATTTAAATTCGGTGGATATGTAAGAATGACTTTTCTAACAAATGATGCGCAAAAAGTTAACTGTGTGTTTTTATTTCATCATTTTTGTGAGCAAACATATTTTGCTGCCCTTTCTGTAACCATGAGAAAGAAGTAAATGAGGAACAAAAGCTTTGCTGTAAAAATGTTGGTAAGATACCAGCACTGATACTGGTATATGATCAGTACCAGTGTGACAGGACTGATTATCAAGGTTAATGTTTCTTGTTACATCACAAAATAGACATGTCTGTGCAAACAGCACTCCGCTCACAACCCGTGTGACCACTTTGGTCCTGCTACCTTGCTCTGCTGTGTTTTGTGTTTTGACTGCGCAGACAAACTCCACCCACTGAGGTGGTGACAGAGAGAACTATGAGATGTCCGTGATAACTGTGAATGAAAATACTGACAATACTGCAGAGTTTGTAGGAGAGAAACTGTGGCAACAGTCTAATTTATACAAACACATGAAAAAGAGCAGAAAAAAACCGAAGAATAAATCTGAAGAGAAATCCTACAAACTCCTTCAAGTTTGTGTTTTTCTTTCTTCTGACCAGATGCAACTTTCTGCACTTTTTCTTCAATGTCCATATACTTTAACACGGTGACTATTTTTTTCCTCAAAATGAATAATAATAATAATAATAATAATAATAATAATAATAATAACAAAAAAAATTCTTGCTGTGGCCGTCCTTGGTGGACGTGGTTCATCAAATCAATACGGTAACAAAGAGATTTGATAATCTGACCATCAGAAACTGAAGCACAGCGGGTGATTTTACGAATAAAACTCTTTTAAAAAAAACAGCGCATGTGTGCGCGTGTGTGAAGAAAAGGTTTAAACTTGCTTCATGAGCTCCAAGAGCACCAATGTGTAAGACTACGAAGTTCAGCCGAATTTTAACCACGTCAGTTAAACGTCAACATGCTCTTTTATTTAAACATTCAAACCTAGTCGAGAGGTTATGCTCTCTTCCTCTATATCACAGAGCGAAAAACTGCTTGTTTTAATTAATCAGATAAACCTCACCTGAAGAGACCAGCGGGAAGAAGACAAACAGTAAATTGCGCCAAAGTGGCGCTGATCCTCCAGCAGACATTCACCGCACCAAGTATTTGGGCTGTTCCACAACTACTGCTCTTAATGTCCGACAGTGCATTTCCAAAGAGTTTGATCTGTGAAACCTTACACGATCATCTAAATTCTAAGCTTTTATCATTTTTGTTTGGGTTGAACTAAAAGTCACAGATGCCTATCTTTACCCTTACAGCTTGATTGCTGCGATCCCTGACGCACTCTGACGCACGCTTTCATCTCCGAGAAAGAGATGCACACAAACAACATACCACTGACCGGTCATAACAACGTTTCTTGGAGGGGGTGGGGAGGGGGGTATTAGCACGTCATATAAGCCAGAACAGGCGGTAAAACATTTTTGTTTTAAGAAAAGGAATCATGGTGGGTCAGTCATATTGTATCGTTAATATTATTATTGTTATTATTATACCTTCGACAATAGAGCTGAAATGTCATATCTCGGTAATGCGCAGAAACTGAGCAACTTTTGCTTGAGTTATATCTGGATTGTCTGCAGGCACGTGCGGGGGGCTTGAGCACCCAACCCTTTCCTGATGGTGCCCAAAGTGCCCTTCTGTTGAGGCAAAAAATATATTATTTTTATATGTGTGCGAGTCCTGTCTGTGCCCCTCAACAATACCATTTAACAATTAATCACATTTTTACTAAATAAAAGGATCTGGCTTGCTTCAGTCACATGATCGCCATTAACCAATGGTCGCCCTTGACGGCAGAACGCGCTGGTTACGATCCGGGAACGAGCTCACAAAGAGCACGCGCATTTTTTGCAGTCTGGGGCTGTAGGAGAAACACAAATGAACTCAGAGACACAGACTGATGCGACAAAACCAGTAAGTAGGTGTACTTACTGGTTAGGAGTAGCTTATTATGGACACGTTGGTAAGTTGTCCTGTGGCAACTGGCGAGTAGAAACAAACGAGCCTGCTGTGTGTGCAACAGCGCGACAAACATTACCTGTCCTTTTATTAACTGCACACATCATATTATTATCAAATAAAACATGTTTTTATTTAGAGACACTTTTGATTAAATTTGCAACTTGGAGTCGTGTGACAGATATCACAACTCTTTTTTTTCTTCAACCACACAGAAAAAGTGAGGGGCAAGCTGTTAAAGGAGTCCTCCTACCTCCATGGTCTCTATATTCCAGCTGTGGCCACACCTGCTTTAACCTGTGCATCCTCCATCAGCTCTTCCCACAGCCTCCCCTTTCATCCATCCTCCAGATACATTTTAGGAACTGGAGGATATTTCAGCATGGAACAGTGAGACTGAATTCTGTGTCACAGACAGGACGATGGAGGAGATGAGGTCTCAAAAGCTTAGGTCTCAGGTGGAAATGTCTGGTTGATCTCCTGTAGCATTTAAGGTCAAAGGTCACATTAAAACTGTCAGGCACTGCTAAAACTAATGCTCCACTGCTACCACCTGCTGGCTGTTATCATGCAGTGACTGATGCCTCTATCCATTTACACTTACCGGCCACTTTATTAGGTATACACGTCACATAGTCTCTGTAGATTTGTCCATAAGGGGGCTCACCTGCTCCACCACATACTGGTCTGTTGGACTGATATCTGGTCCAGTCATCTAATTTCAGATGATTTGAGCTTTAAGGCATGGTGTATCATCTTGCTGGAAATGGCTCACAGAAGATGGCTGACTACACTGATGGACACTGTAGTCATGAAGGGATAGGCATGGTCATTAACAATACTCAGATATGCTGCAGTGTTTAAATGATCCTCAGGTTGTACTAAGTGGCTCAAAGTGCGGCAGTAAAAATGTCCCCACACCATTACACCACCACCAGCCTTAAGAAGAATGGATTCATACTTTGGTGTTGTTTACACCATATTCCGATCCTTCCATTGGAATGTTGCATATTCCAATTTTGTGAAGTTTTGATGAACTCATAGTTTTAAGCCCTTTAGTCAGAAAGGAATTTTCTAATATTGGACTGATCATACTGGACTGCTTGGGTTACAGTGTAACTGAAAGCTGCTATACAAACTGCTACTAAAAAAAACTATGACACTGTGTTTTTGTGCATATTTTCTGAAACTATTTTATACATTACATCCCTACATAGTTAAAAATGACTACCTACCAGTGTATTTGTAAAGAAAGGGCAAACCCTCAATCAGTTGAAAAGGGCGGGCTTTGCTATATATCGCTGACAAAAAGAAAAGCTCAAATGAGTGAGAAGGACGATGAAGGAAACATCTGTGCTGTGTCTGCTCTGTAAGTAGAATCTCTGTGTTTGTTTGAATTCTTGTACTTTGACTGTCTGCTCTCCTGATAACTGATGATGGAGGAGAAGACATGAAAAACAAATCAGGCTGAATTCAAGATAAAAACAGTAGGCAGTGAAAATCTCAAATCATTCAACTCATTATATGAACACAGCTGGACAGTGGACATGTGACTTTACTGTGTTAATTAAAAGTATCTACGTATGTATTTATGAGTTTGTATATACTCACAATAGAGCCAAACTTTATTGAAGCATGTTGCATCAATGCGAGTTTGTGCGTTTTTCAGCTGTTTGTGTGGAGTTGTTCTTCATGTTCACCTCAAATCCACCTGAGTGTCAATTTTCTCTTTAGTTCTGATCTCACTGCTGAGCTGCACAACAAGCCAAGGTCAGTAACCTTCTTCTGTCACAGTTGTAACAGTTTGAGCAATTAAAAGATTTTATTTTATTTTATTTTATTTTTTTCATTTTAACCCTCACAGCTCGTCTGACTGTGAGTCCCAGCAGCTCTCAGGTCTTTAAAGGAGCCTTTGTGTCTCTGAGCTGTGAGGAGGACGACAGCTCTGCTGGATGGACTCTGAGGAGAAACACAAGTAAACGACAGAGGACTCAGTGTGGAGATGGAAAATCAGAGGGCTCTTCCTGTAACATCAGCTTCATCATCCCACTGGACAGTGGAGTTTACTGGTGTGAGTCCAGAGAGGGTCCCATCAGTAACATGGTTAACCTGACAGTCACTGGTAAGCTGAGTGTGTGGAGTTAGTGTTGATGAAGCTGTGTGTAAATGGATGAAATGCTGTAGTTTGTCTCTGTGTTGAGGTGGATCAGTGATCCTGCAGAGTCCTGTCCTCCCTGTGATGGAGGGAGATGACGTCACTCTGCTCTGTAAAACAAAGACCACTCCCTCCAACCTCACAGCTGCTTTCTATAAAGATGGCTCCCTCATCAGGAAGCAGCCTACAGGTCACATGACCATCCAGCATGTTTCCAGGTCTGATGAAGGCCTCTACAAGTGTGACATCAGCGGTCATGGAGAGTCTCCATCCAGCTGGATCACTGTCACAGGTGACACACTCACCTGTCTGTGTTTCTGCAGCTTTCAACATTCACAATGTGACGACAACTTAATGACTGTGTTTGCTTTATTTTAGAGAAACACACCACCACACCTCCACCTACATCCACACCTCCACCTACGTCAGGATCGATCCCAACATCCTCATCTGCTTATGGCTCCTCTCCTGTTCTTGCTGTAGTGGTACTTGCTGGATTAGTCTGTTTTGTGGTTTTGCTGGTGTTTCTGGTTCTGCTGGTGATACGATGTGTTCGTTTGAAACCTGAAGGTGAGACTCAAACATCTGGATTTTGCATGTATGCCTTTATTTTGCAGAATAATCTAAAAATTTCTACCAGTCATTATATACTTTTGTATTTACATTTTGTGCAGATGTTGTCATTTCTATGTTTGTGTTATTTTTACGGATAATAGTTACAGAGATGTAGTTTCAGACCGATTAAAGCTTATACAAAGTGTCAAACTGTCAACTGTCATGTAATTTTTATAAAATGGGAATATTTTGGGACATCCATCCATCCATCCATTCATTCACTTCCGCTTATCCCTTTCAGGGTTGCGGGGGGCACTGGAGTCTATCCCAGCTGTCTTAGGGCGAGAGGCGGGGTACACCCTGGACAGGCCGCCAGTCTGTCTCAGGGCTAACACACAGGGACAGACAATCATGCGCGCTCACATTCACTCACGGATTCACACCTTTGGGCAATTAGATTTTTCAATTACCCAAGCACGGTGGTTAGCACTGTTGCCTCACATCAAGAAGGTCTTGAGTTTAATTCCACCATTAGGCTGGGGTCTTTCTGTGTGGAGTTGCAGGTTCTCCCTGGACGGTCCAGCTTCCTCCCACAGTCCAAAGACATACACTTAGTGGGTTAGGTATTTTGGGACAATTTAGGGAAATATTGTGAGGAATTTTAGAACTATACAGTATAATCTGTAGCTGTTTGGAAAGCAAGTACTTAAAAATGAGTTGAGCTGGACATATTATGAGAGAATAAGAATTCTGGATAGAAATCTATTGGAGCTTTGGTCAGATATATTACCTGCACTGATGTCCTCTGTATGCCTTTTGATATGCAGAGAATGACCCAGCTGCAATCTACTCGGGAACGAGATCTGAAGATGTCAGTTATGGACAAATCATCATCAAAGATAACAGCAAAAACTTGCAGATAAGAGGTACACCTGGTCTTCTTTCCTTTTTGTCATGGTTCAGTTCTAGAGCCAGAGCTGTGAACCTTTGTCTTGCAGTTAATTAATGCAGGAACTGTTGCTCACCTAATTTAACTAACTGCTTAGTAAACTTTCATTAATTGTGATTCTACTGAGTCTTCTGTTCCTAGGACTACACTCTTCTATATTGCATCCACTTATCCACTTCAGGGTTGTTGGGCGTTCAGTTGGTTCAGTTTTAGTTCTATAGCACCAAACTGTAATGTAAACATTGCACAATAATACAGAGAAAACCTCAACAATTAAACAAAGTTCTTTGAGCAAGCTCTTGGTGGCAGTGTGAAGGGAAAAACCCTTTCAATAGCAAGAACTCTCCAGCAGAACCAGGCTCAGGGAGGAACAGCCATCTGCAGCAACCAGTTGGGAGTTTGGAGACACTTCTCTGGTGTTGTACTTTGAATCTGTTTGAGCCACATTTCTATTTTGAGGATTACATCGTTTGATCACTGACACCAATTTTGACTTTCCACACCTGCTCAAGTCTTTCCTAAAGATGTACTTTCCATTTTTCATTTCTCTATTTTCTTGTGCTCCTTCTTCCTGATGTTGCTGTCTGCTGGGGTTGCCACATCTATCACAACTGCAGTCTTCTGCTCCTTGTCAACCACCAAATAAAGCTTGATGTCATCTATGTACTGAACAGGAGATCCAATCCCAAGTCTACATTTTCATCTGCTCGTATTGATGAGCTGGTCCAGAGGGTTGAGGTCCATTCAGAACAGCAGTAGGGTTCTTTGGTATATTCCAGACTTGACGTTGACTTGTGTGATTGCGCAACACAAGCTTTTAGCTTGATGAGTTTGTTGATGTCTTGAGATGTGTGTAAGGAGGAAAAGACCTTTAATACAATGACTCATTTTCAAAGTTCTGCATGTAAAACCACAGCAGCTACTTCCTGTTTTTGACTCCAGCTTACTGTAGTTTTAAACTGATAAAAACTCTCACCATGGCCTGTCCTCGTTGTAGAACGTTTTTGCTTTGCACTCTGTGCAGAAGTGTGTCAGCCTGCATGGAAATAGGATGGCATCTTTGTGGTCGTTCAATTATCTTTTCCACGGATATACCCTCGACTCTTTTTGGTTTCGGGGGTGGGGGAGATGCAGTGTCACCTCAGAGGTAAAAACTAATAAAAGAAATCTGAAACTGTTCATAAAAGCCATTAAACAACATTATCATTATGCTGCATAAAACAATATTTAATAACCATTAGTGTTAAAATATAAATTACTCTTATACAGTTGAGCTGGATCACTTTCTGCATAATAAAAATATTGCAATTGCTGTAGGCACAAGTTTACTCAGAGATGAGGATAGTAGACATCAATTGTTATATCATCATCAATGGCAAGGAAAAATAACCTAAGTGGTACATCAGCTTTAGTCTCCAACGAGAGGTTTTGTGCTTGATGGTTAAAGAAAGTGAATCCTCAAAATTATGATTATCAAGTGAATTATTTTGGGAAACCATGATAGAAACTAATTCCCACAAAATATAGTGCACTATATTGCATTGCATGCACTATATTGCCAAAAGGATTCAGTCACCCATCCAAATCACTTGGGCCATGGGTCAGGCTCGAACCCAAGCCAGCTGCTCTCAGCCATGCACCATGTGGTGATCTGGAAAGCCTAGTGAGCCAAACCGAGCCTCACACTCATCTGTCAGTTAACTTCACACACAAGTGTGGGTTTGACAGTTGCTATGAGAACGGTACTTCCCTGACTGCATTGTGCCAAGTGTAAAGTTTGATAGAGGGGGGATTATGAGGGGGGTTGTTTTTTAGGAGTTGGGCTGGCCCCTTTAGTTCTAGTGAAAGAAACTCCCAATGCTTCAGCATCCTGAGACATTTTGGACAATTGCATGCTCCCAACATCGTGGGAGCAGTTTGGGTATGGCCCCTTCTTGTTCCATCATGACTCCATACAATGTGCAAAGTAAGGTCAACATAGATATGGATGAGTGAGATTGGTGTGGAAGAACTTGACTGGCCTGTGCTTTGGGAATAACAGCGGAGACTGCGAGCCAGGCCTTCGCTTCCAACACCAGTGCCTGATGTCAGAAATGCACTTCTGGAAAAATGGTAAAAATTCCAATGAAAGCACTCCTAAGCCCTGCCGGAAACCTTCCTAGAGGATGTAAAGCTGTTATAACTTTAAAGGGTGACCAAACATCATATTAAATCCTATGGATAAAGAATGCCGTTCAAGTTCACATATGTGTAAATGCATCAAAATTAGCCCCACATGTGTCTGCTGTCTGATTTTGGTACAAACACATGTTTTTAGCTGGATGAACAGAGAAAATCTGAACAGACCAAACATTCTTCACTGTGTGTTCTCAGCCCCTCAAACCTGTTCTTGAATACAGACTCATTTTCAAACATTGGCATGTAACCACAGCAGCTATTTCCTGTTGTTGACTCCAGTTTACTGTACTCTGAAACTGATAAGAGTTTTTACCACAGTATGGCCTAGTTTTGAAACATGTTTGCTTTGTACTCTGTGCAGAGACATTTTGGAAGTCAGAGGGGCTTCAGAATTTTTGGTTACTGTGTGGTTCATGTAGAGTTGAAATACTTCAGAAGTTTTATAGCAGACAGCTAGAATATGTAAATACAAGGTAACAAACAGTAGCGGTTTTAGATACGGGCAGTTGCCCGGGGCGGCATCACGGGTATCGGCAAAAAAAAAAAAATGCTCGTACTCATGCTGCCCCGACGTCAGCCAGCGCATATTGGGAATGGCATAGGCACCGATCGGTTTTCTATCGCCCATTTGCTGGGAGTAAGGGCGCCCTTCCGTTTGCGAGGTGCGCCTGCTGCTTGCGGCACAGGGAGGAGAGGGCGGGGCGGCGGGGGATTCTCTGAACGGCTGGAGCAGCATCTAATAATCAACTCGCAAAATAAAACAAAATAAAAACAAACTAACAAACAGAAACACAGACATTATGATACAGACTTATAATTTGCACCGATGTTTTTTCGAAATTCTATATACGAAAAGTGAGCGCGAGAGCCCTCGGTGCGCCTGCTCGCTGCTGAAGTCAAAGTAAACTTTATTGTCATCTCCGCTACATACAGTCCAGTATATAGAGAGACGAGAGACGAGGCTCCAGTTACAGCAGTGCAAGAAAAAGCCATCAGGTCTCAGTTTAGAAAAAAGAGAAAAGAAGAGGAGGAGAAACGAGCAAAAGATGCAGGTAAGCAGATGTGTCATTGGATAATGGCAGGTCATCCTGAAACAATCAGAATCAGAATACTTTATTAATCCCTAAGGAAATTATGTGGGTTACAGTTGCTCCAAGAAGAAATGGTAAAAATAGAACAGTAACAGACTAAACTCCAAACAATACATTATGTTACAGATTTTAATATTAATTAGTCATTGTCAATTGTTGATTTGTCCTGTTCTCATTGTATGACGAATTATGATGGCTGTTTGGTAGCCGTTTGCATACTATGCATACTCTCTCTCTTCATATGTGTGTGTGTGTACAACAGTTTTATGTTAATGTACAATCCTTAATATGTTTTGTGTGTGTGTGTGGGGGGGGGGGGGGGGGTTCGCCCAGGGCGCCAAACAGGCTAGGACCGCCACGGTAACAAAAATAGCTTTTTTGGTATTTAGTGATCAAATAATAGATTTATGTAAATAGTTTGTATACCACAGAGAGGTACATGCACTTAGGTCAGGGTATTTTTATTTATAAGCCAAATGCAAACCTTGTCTGCCTTCTCTAGGTATTTTAGAGTAGTCATTCATTTGTTTGAACATTAAATGCTAATAAATCAAGCCCGCTAATCAGTCAGACCCTTATATGTATTACCATACACTGGGATAATATTATGACAGCTGTTGAGTGAAATAACTCACTTTCTCCTCAAAGCTGATGTGTTAGAACAGAAAAAAGTGGCCAAGTGTAAAACTTTGAGGGAGTTGTACAAAGGCCACATTGTGATTGCTAAATGACTGGATATCACAAAACTAAAGTTATTGTCAGGTGCTCAAGGTCTGCAGTGGTCTGTATATATCACATCTGGTCCAAGGAAGGCAAATAGTGAACCAGTGACAGGGTCGTGGGTGGTCAAGGCTCACTGATGCATGTAGGGAGCAAAGTGTGGCTTCTCTTGTCCAATCCAAAACATAAGCTACTCTCTCTCAAAGTGCCAAACAATTTAATGCTGGCTTTGGTGTAAAGGTGTCAAAATATAGAGAGCATCACAGTTTGTTATGTACCTGGCAGTGCAATGGGCATATGAGCCTCAGACGTGCCAATGGAAGAAGAAGGGCTGGTGCTACGTTCCAACACCAACACCAGTAGGGTAAAGTGTCTTGCCCAAGGACACAACAACCAGGACAGAGAGGCCAGGGATCGAACCAGCGACCTTCCAGTTACAGATGCGCTTCCGAACCCCCTGAGCCACGGTCGCCCCAAAAAAGGGAGACAGGGAGGCACAATGGTTAAATTAAAGGGTTTTGATAACGTTCCTGTTACTAAATAAACTAAAAGAGACGGACAAGCTGCTATCATCTTTTAAAGAAAGAAAACAACAAAACCCAGTTGTTGGTCAACAAACTGAAAAGTAATTGACAAAAAGCTGAGTCCCACCTTGCAAGTTACGGGGTTTAAAAAATCTGTTGTTAACATCTTGGTGCCAGATAACCCAGCACACTTTCAGGGGCCTAGTGGAGTCCATCACTCGACAGGTCAGGACTGTTTTGAGAAGAAACTGGAGTTCAACACAGTGTCAGATTAACTATATGTTGTGCACAGACCCCTGTAATCTCTATGTGTTTTATTAAGCAGAGAGTGATCCAGCTTCAGTCTACTCAGCAGTGAGCATAGAAGACATCACTTGTGGATATCATCAGACTACAGGACAAGAGGTAAAGAAAAGAGGTAAAGTTGCCCTTTACTTTAAACTTTGAACACAGCCAAGCTAGCCGCACAACCTGTTTTATGATGCTAAGCTGAGCTAACTATGTCCTGAGTCCGTATCAAACTTCTCTGCTGTCTTTTAGAAAGACATCAGTTTATTTAGAGCTACATGGGCAGCAGAATGTAGTTAATGATTGACTCAAAGCAATAGATACCAGACAACAAGCCCCAGTTTTGAGATGATACTTAAGGGCACAACTCCGTATGATATTTTTCTTATTACATAGAAACTGTGTAGTTTATGTCCTATATAATATAATTTAAGGAGTCGTTTTAATTTCATTCTTGCTGATGTCATGGAGTTACTCATACTCCATACTCCACTACTCATTCAGCAAAAAACTATTACTTTCATAATAGTTAGACGCCCTTAAAGTACATTTCTAAATGTAATATTTTCCAATCAGTACCAATTTCTAAAACATTGATACATACAGAAGATAAACAGATAAACACTCCAGAGCTCAAAAAACACAAATTTAATCTTTGTTAAAAATGCAACCAAGTCAATATTAGACAGAATTTAAAGACAAAATGTTTTTGTTCAGCACAAATTAAGTTAGACTACCACTACTTGGACTCTTTTGATTATTTTAGGTTCTGTGATTTAGTGTTTGTATTGCTAGTTTCCTTAGTTATGCCTTAGTACTTTAGTTATTTTCTAGTCCTTTGGTTTTGTCACTGTGCCTTCCTTGCGTTCCATGTGTTACGTCTAGCGTTCCAGGTTTCTATGTTTATGTATTTCCTGTTTTACTTTGACATTCCCGTGCCTTCAGTTTTGCTCTCCTTTCCATCTCGTTATGTACGATTTGTCTCACCTGTGTTCCCCTCCTGTTTCCATTTTCCTCATTACCCTCCGTGTGTATATATATTGTGTGTTTCCCTTTGTTTCTCATTGGGTCGTCTGTGTTTCCTCTGCCATTACTCCCGATGTAGTTTCAGGTTTCTTGTTGAGCTTTTCCAGATTAGGGTTTTCTCTGTTTATCTCAGTGCCCTATTGTAGTGATGGGCAGATGAAGCTTCATGAAGCACAGAAGCTTTTCATCCAATTGGTTCACCCCAGCACAAAGTTTCTTGAAGCTTCATTTGCTCTAGTAGGACACCTACTGGACGTAAAAATATTAGTTGGCATGAATTTGAAGAGTGTGGCCTTTTGCACACAGCCTGTAAATGTCAACAACAAAAGGAGTGTGTAAAACATCTATATTGTAGTGATGCAGTATACTGTGTATATTTATACTGGCAGTATGGAAAATGATCATTTGGAAATGCTTAAAATGGAAATGATCATTTACTGTGAGGTGAGGTGTGGTTGGGGTGTGGACAGTAGTTGTGCTTTTGTAACGTTGAGGTATGGACAGCTACACACTGAGGCTTTGAGCCTCAGTCGTCCTGCATGTTCACATTTTATTCTGTAGGAACTAAATTTTCACTGCTTTTATGACCTTTTAGTGGGGAGAACATAGGTAGGCTTTAATGATTTAACAGATCTTTTGAATCCTTTGTCCTCCACAATGCTAAATGGCTGGGAGTCCTCAATCACCATGCTAACCAGGTCGTCTATTTGAGATTGTTCTCCTGAGGAAAGACAATAAAGACAAAGCACAAATATAAATATCACACACGTAACTTATAACAGCTGTATAATATTGTTATATCATTTAGTAACATTACTGCATGCTATATTATCATGGCATTTGATGGCTCACCTGGTCTTGCTCCACAATCGGTGTTCCCCTTATTCTCATGCAAAGCTCTGTAGTGCCTAAGCATGGATGAGGTGTTGTTGTTATATCCCAGCTCCCTGGCACATAGCAAACACTTCACCTTGTACAAAAGTAAAGACAGCTTAACATAAATTGTATTGCACCATCAGTATCATGAAAATACATCTTCTGTAGAAATTTACATACCTTGTTGGGAGGAATAAGATCAAAATGTTCCCACACAGGGGAGGACATCCTCCTCTTCTTAGCTGGCTCCATTCTCTCCTGACTTTCCTTCCTCACTCTCATAAACCTCCAAACTGTCTTCAAACTCTCACATCTCGCGGCAAAGTTTGAACCACTTCATGAACCAGTCACGTGGTACAGCCGGGCAGTGAGGCTTCGGAACGTCATCATTTTCAGCTCCTCCCATAAATGAAACAAGCCTCGATACGCACATCGCGGAAACGCCACATTCCTCGATACAGAACGTCACATCACTATCCTATTGCCATATTTTCACCTATTGTTATTACCCACCTCATCTCTGTGTGTCTGTATTTTGGTCCACATTCACCTCACTCCAAACCATTGTCTTTGGCATATATGACAGTTAAAATAATAATCTTCAAATGTAGTCTTAATCTAAGACTCTACAAATTTTGAATTGGAAAATCACTCTTACTGCTAGCTAGTGTACCCCTAGTGCTGGTCCAGAGAACTGTGTGTAGTAAATGGTAAATGGCCTGTATTTATATAGCGCTTTACTAGTCCCTAAGGACCCAAAAGCGCTTTACATGTCCAGTCATCCACCCATTCACACACACATTCACACACACATTCACACACTGGTAGTGACAAATCACTCCTTATAAAATAAGGGACTATTTGAAAGAAAGCAGGTGAATGAAATAAAACTGAGTTTTAACCCTAGACAGATGTTAAGAGGTTAACAAAGCTCCATTCAAACCTCAAATGATGCTGCTTGGCCTGCCTGTATGTCAGGGTGGAGAGAAGAGAGAGAAAGAAAAGCAGAAAGGAACAAATGTTTTGATGCAATTTAATGTAGTTCCAGGTTTAAAATTTGTGAATTTAGTGGACGTCTCAACAAATAATTAAACAGTGAAAAGTATGAAAGCTTAGTGATTTGTAGCTGAGCTGGTTCCCATAAAGTGTGAATCTACACTGTGTGTATCACAGACATATCAATGGAGATTGGAGGTCTTGATTGAACTACAAAGCTTGCAATCATATTTCCTGTTGTTTGAACTGTGCGTGTTTGTGTTCAGACTTTAAACCAGAGCCAGACGTTGTCGAAGCTTCACTGAAGTAGTCCACCAGTCCAACTACTGACATTCCCTACTGGTCTCCCCATCACCTCAAAAAACAATCTTCTTTTTTAATGGAATTTTTAAAAGTCTGTGTAAATTCTCAGTTATGCATATCATGGTAGTCTAAGGAGCTTGAAAACAGCTTTATTTAATTTTTTAGTTTTGTTTTTGTTTTTTATGATGTTTTACCTCACATTCATGAGGATTCTTCAGTTCTAAAACCACAAGGTTGAGAGTTTCAGGAATCCCAGGAAGGCAATCTGTCACTGTAGGTCCGCAGTCATCCAGAATTAAAATTTATATTAATCATGTGATGACACACAAGTTTAATAGCGGGTTAATGACCACCTCCTAAGGGAAAAGCTCCACCCTCCCACTCCAGTAGGGTAATAAGAACCTGGGATGCTCAATTTTTTTTTAAAGCTGAAACATCTTCAAAAAAAACTTAAACTTAAAGTCCACACACCTTTTATTCAAGCTCCTCTATTGTTGTTTATATGTATTCAGTAAATTTACTGTTACTTACTGTATATTTTATTCATATGTTATTTATTTCTATTGGATCCTGTTCTTGTTCCCACAGCAGCTATCTGGTAAATAAAACTTTGCTCTCGTTTGTATTTTTCATGTTGTTGTGTCAGTTTTAATGATTGTGTGTGATGGGAAATTGTCTGGTTGTAGCTAACTGATACCTGACTTTGGTGGAGAAAACAAACAGTAAGCATTGAACCACAGACTAAAAACACCAGCAACACCACTAGAAGATCTTGCATCCATCCTATATCCTCACATTTGTTCTTTTAGAATTTATATTATATTATGTTAAGTAAAAATATTAATTTAGTTTAAATGGGGACATCTAGTGGAGAGAGCAGCATGGTGGCCCGGTGGTTAGCACTCACACTACACTCATAAAAATTAGTCATTGGTTGAACTCAATTTGACTGATGGCAGGTTTTCCACGTAATGCATTTATTTTGGTTCAACCAAATCTACATACATCATGACAATTTAATTAAATTGAGTCAGTAGAACACAATTTTTTAAACACATTTAAAAGGAAAAAAATTACATTAATAAGATGTGAAAGGTTTTGGTTGGTTCAACTCAATACAATGTCATTCATTTGAGCTAGATTTTCTTTCGAATTGAAATGATTATTTTAAGTTCAACGAAATCATAATTTTAATTACCAGAAAACAAATTTAATTATTAAAATAATGACAAAATAAATTAGTTTTATCAACTCAGTTTTATTCACTTGAATTAAAAGCAGAAACAGAATATTTTGTGAATAAACATACATGTCACATGGTCAAATTAACCTTAACAAAATCAAAGTGCTCACAAAAAAGTGCCTTACATTTGAAATGAATATCAAATCTGAAAAGCACACACCTCTGTACTACTAGGCAATACTGAAAACAAACTGGAATCTGTAAAATCAGATTTCACTTCAGAATCATTGTATATATATTTATAGTGACACTTGCAAATTCACAATGATAACCTACTAAACATTGCAATTCACACCATATTATGCCAGTCACTGAACATTTTAAACAACCCAAAAATACTTAAATACAACATATATACATGTATATATATATATATATATATATATATATATATATATAATACATAATATATAATGTACATATATATAAATAGATTTTCATTAAGAACATTTTGTGTTACCAAAGGGGAGGTATATTAATAAAAAAAAAACCTTTGCTTCTCTAATTCAAACTTTTACAAGCTTATAAGAACGGGAACACCAACTTTAAAACACTGGAAGACACCAAACTTGTCAACATTTGTTTTGTCTCTTCGAAAATCCCAAAAGCAATTAAAAGGAAGATGCTGGTCACAACCATTAAACTTTTTTTGAGCTAAATTCCCACAGTCCTTTTATCCATCTATAGTAGTATAGATTAAAGGTTACACACAAGTTACTTTGCGTAACTTGTGTGAGGGAAAATCTCTTCAAATGGACAGCTAACCACATTTTCCAGACATATTCTGGCCACTTAATTCTCATCATGAATTCTTGTCCAGTTGTTCTTTTGCATGATAAACAGATTCATATATTATAGGAGGAAAGGATTTCTTAGTATCCAACATGATATAAAATTATATAATGATATATGATAAAATGATAAGGAATATAACATAAAATAAAATATATTAAATATTACAGGCTGCAGAGCACATTTGCTAAGCAGGGCGACCATAGATTATGTGCATGTAGTTCTCCCTAAAAACAGTGAAGCAATTCAGATCAGTGAGAGGAGGCTGAAGAAGAATCGATATAGAAACTGATGAGTCTGTGCCCGTGAGCTTGGTGACTGAGTTTCAGGTGGAGCTCAGGATTTACCCAGAGGAGAGCTGAAATATTGCAAACTGTTCTACTGTAGGAACCTGACATCTCTGCAAATATTATTTGCAAATAGATGTGTGTTAATTAGTACTGTTACTGTGCCACGTGCGCAGGTTTTAAAAATCTTTTATTTTATATTGAAACATTCAGACATGAATTCAGCACACTAACATAGTTTGACGTGATGATGGTGATGGAGAGATTGGTTCTTGCCTGGCTCCGGACCCGTCTCAGTTTGTTTACGAGTCTCAGGTTTGAGACAACCATCCAAATGTCCTGTTACGCACATGCTATGATAATATCTAACAGATAAGTGAGAGGGAAAGGATAAACACTCCTAGAAGCAATTATCATATTCACATTAGGCACAGCACATGCTCTTTGACTTTTCTGGCAATTTGGAATAAAACACATGCAGCAAACCTTTGTAAATCCCATTTGTATGTTTATTTTAAATGTCTGCCCTTTGAAAAATAAACTTGTACAAACACAGATGTTGTATAGGCAGCCACAAAAATACCCCTGTCTACAACGTTGAGTCATAAAACTTATACTGTGTCTCTTAAGTAAATCCAGCACCTTTTAAAGTCTGTTTATGCAGAAACCACAGGGTAAGAAAACACTATGGTGACGTACGATGCTGAGGTTCATCTTCTGCTCGTAGCACTTTAAACATTATAATCATTATTTGACCTCATGGCCTTCAAGATCAGTAAAAAGCAGTTAGGTGATATAAGGTAATTTGGGATGTTGTTTCTACAATAGCAACTTTCAGTTAAGAATGGGAGTCAGAGTTTAAAAGGGTTTTTTTTTTAGCTTTCCCTCTTTTCTCATAGCTCGTGTACATCTTGTACATCCACCCAGAGAAGAGAGCAGAGGAGGTGAGGAAGAGGCAACGATGAAGGCTGAAATGAGAAATCTTCACTTTAGAGCCTCATTTTAAGTGACTGACACAACTATGTTTCATCATATTTATGACATTGTATATATACATTGTATATATTTAGATTTAGCTATTTCTAAGAAAATTACCAACATGAAGTAATGTGACCATTTTTTTCATGACATGCAGAAAACGTGTAGGGCAGAAAATTTGATTATCTTAAAGGACTGTGTGCGTTGTCTTTTATATTCTAGCTGTGCCTCTTATATATGTTAAAGGTAAAAATGTTTCTACCAGATCCACAAGTGAATCCTTCATTATGGTCCTCTTCCCACAGTCGCCTCCAGTTTAAACTCGTTTATCTCCAGACACTCCTCAGTCTTGGATTGTCAAGCCATGTGAAACGTCTGTGCTCCTCCTCTACATTTTACCACTTGCAACATCTTTGTTTACCTAAAGATTGATTTATGCATTCATAATTGTTGGGTATATTGTCGCATCATAAATGTACCACAGCAGTTAAAGCTTAAAGAGTTAACATGAGAACAAGTCAACAAGCTATTTTCCATTCATTTTTCTTCATAAACAGCAACAGATGGTAGACAGATGGTAGCATGCTGATGTTATCACATTTGCTGTAACCAATCACAGGGCTACAGCGCCTAGAAAGGTCATTCTTGTAAAGGCTGCCATTCCTTTTGATTGGGAAACAGAGAAGCAGCTTTGGAAATAGATTCAAACTTTTCTCATCTTCGGGTGGATATTTCTGATTGGATATGTGAGTGAGTAATAACTGATACTTTATTGAATTAATATTTACTTTTATTTTACTGTGTCCTGTTTAATCTTTTTATTGGCTATTATTGGCTGAATTATTTACATTTATTATGTAAATATTAAATTATTATTCACATTTACAGAAGCCAAACCTGCTGTAAACAGCTGTTGGTCCTTTAAGGGTGGTGTTGTTGCCCGTTGTTTTTATTTCACCTCTGAACAGCCACCTCCTGACCCATCGGGGGTTTTTGAGGGCACAGGATAACCTGGTGGATAATAAATGGCAAACAGGTGGTTTGCTGGCCTGTTGGCTGGTAGGATAGGATAGCTGCTGGCTGGGTAAGATTAGAGGAGATAAAACAAAGGAAAAATTTAGTCCACCCTCTTTTTGTCTTTTGCTTTGTGTTTGATAGCCCTATAACTGGGGTGTTTATGTTAACGAAACATCGACCACCCATTTTTTTTTTCATTATCATGTGGTTTATCATTTAACGTCATCCTCTTCTTCTTCTTCTTCTTCTTCTTCTTCTTTTTTTAAAGTAAATGCCACAAAATAGGAAAGAGCCAGCAACTGGCTTTAATCGTTTAATGTAATCTACAGGCTACAGCTAAATGCTGCCTCCTCCATAGTACAATATACATGTTTATACAGTGACGTCATGTTGAAGTCCTTTTGCTGATGATGGTCTTTAGTACGTAGCTGATGATTGATGATGAGGTTATGTTTGTGTTGTTCTGTGGAGATCATTGAAGAACTGAACCTGTTAAACACTCAGACCTGCTTCAGATTTCATCGCTTTAGTTATGACGCACTTATTTAAGATCGTCCTCCAGTCCAACCTACTGAACGTCACTCTAACGCGACATACACATGACATGAGTTCAAGAACACGGAAATGTCTGCTGTGACTGCGTCGCTCTTGCTGTTTGTCGTCCTCTTTGTGTTTGTCTCTGCAGGTGAGATTCACTCTGTGGGACAGAGAGGAAAAGCATCAGTCTCTTTACATGTTAACAACATTTCCTGACGAGTTATTTTCATATTGATTCAGTTTTTCCGTGTTTGTGATGGAGACACGAGGCTGGGTGGAGTCTGTGTGGACCTAACATGTCGGTGTGATCAGAGCCCACAGAGACAAAGAAGTGTGATGTGTGTGTCAGTGTGATGTGTTGTAGTTTCAGGAGTCAGTATACAGCTACAAAGCTTTGTGTTCAGTGTAAACAAACAGCTGTAGCTACAGAAATGCAGCATGCTGAGACTCACAGTGTTATATAATGAGAGGGCTGCTCATCCACCTGGCCCTTCCTCACAGTTTCTGTCTGATTTCTCAGACTTTTATCTGATTTAGTGCTCAGCTCAGATAAAATGATAATTGTGGCTGATTTTAACATCCATGTAGATGCTAAAAATGTTGTTATTATTATTAACATTATTTCCTGAAAACCCTCTCTTGTCTCACACATTATGTTCACTTATTATCAGGACGTGTTTTTGTTTTTGGAACAGAGTTATTGTGTTTTTTTTCCTACTTAGTTTTTATTCTGTTTTGACTTTTTGTGTTTAGTTTAATTTAGTTTCCAGATGATTTTCTTCTTTCAGTTCAAGTTTTATTATTTATTGCTTTAAAGGTTTTAATAGTTTTATTCTTTTTTATTATTACTGTCTGGAGGTTTTGTGTCAGAGGCAAGATTTAGGAGCATCAGTCCACATATTACAATAAAAAGCAGGGACATCCAGAGTCTCAATGAACTCGACTATGTATAGGAATTTCTTTTACTTATGTATTAATCACATTATTTTATTGTATGATACCTTGGTGCCACTGGATTTTAACATGTCTCACACTCATACAGTAAGACAAAAGGTGGGGGTCTAGTAAGGAAGTTGGGGGAAGCAGACAACTCCACAGGAAGAGTCTTTTGTCTCTTTGAGGTCTCTGGGAGGTAGCGAGGGAGTGTGAACCTTAAGGTGTGAAACAGCTGAGTACTGCCTTTTGTTCCTGGGGAAGGTATTGAGAGCCATGTAAGGCTCAGGGAGACTCTGCTGACCGTCTGCCCCGCGGTCATGCAGGCTCTCCACAAGCTTGGTTGTCTGTTCTTTGTGTGTTTTGATTAAAGAATGTTAGCTACCGCTCGTCTGCAGGCTTCATTTAAACGGAAAACTTCCACAACAACCATCAATAAAACAAACAAACCAATTCTAAAACTAAAACTGGGCATACACCGTGTGATTTTTGGCCCATTTTGAGATAGCTTTTCACCTGTGTAACCATTTTGGGGATCCACCTGAGTTTCCCCTTAATCGTGTGTCATGCATCGTGTAGTATACATGGGGTAATGAGAAGCGATTAACACCTCACGACCGGCTCCCATTCAATGGTTATGATTGCAAGAAAATCAAACCTGTTTGAAATCCTGGTCACCCCTCGTGGAGGTATCGCACTTTTGAAGCAGTGCCATGAGCCGATTTAACACAACCTCTCACACTGCACATGCACAAACACAGAAATGGAAGTGAAAAAGACGGAGCAGCATGGCAGGGCAGCATGTGATCTGGAAACAAGCGATGGAGGCCCAATTTGTAGAACTTTGGCAAGTTCGTCCTTTTCAATGTCATCATTAAGCCTGTAGACTCCTGGTGGAGCATAGGGCATAGTTTGCTCTTTTCCACATCTGTTTGGGTCTCCCCACTTTCCTTTTTCCTTGTGGGTTCCAGTCCAGTGCTTGCCTTGTGTCGTTGTCGAATGGTTTTCGAAATGTGTGGCCTATCCAGCCCCATTTTCTATTCTTGATGTCTTGACCACCCAGGTTCTGTCTGGTTCTCTTCGACAGGTCTGTGTTCAAGACCTTCTCAGGACATCTGATGTTGAGGATGTGTCGCAAGCACTTGTTGATGAAGATCTCTATTTTGCTGGTAATAGTGTTGGTCACCAGCCACGTCTCGGACCCCAGCCTTTTCAATGGGGCCTCACAAAATGATGTGTGTGCGTGTGTGATTGTGTGTGTGATGAGTGCTCACATCAAATTTAACGTGCTCACAGTGTGAGCACTCAGGTCGTATCGGGCCGTATAGTGTGAGACCCTGCATTGTGACCTATGAACTTCTAACCCGATTCAGTCGTGCAGTTTTTATCAGGAGCTGAATAATGGGACTGAAAAAAATCACACACTGTATGCCCAGCTTTAGGATATATTTTGATTTGAGTTGCTGTCCTTTTGAGATAAAGAGGCAGAAGATTTGCTTTGGTGACCTCTGAAGGGAGCAGCTTAAAGAACACATACAGAATGAAAGGCTATCATCTAATAAGAGATCTTTTGTTGTTGTGTGTGTATTTCTGCCTCTGTCTGGCTGCTGTAGAAGTGAACAGTTGTACTTTGACCTTGAACCTCTCTACTCTGTGTTGTTCTCTCTTTTAGACAAGAAAAACATCACAGCTGAGTCAGGACAGAGCGTCACTCTGACATGTCGAGCTCCAAACAACAACAATGACATTGTAGAGTGGTGCAGAGCTGACCTCGAGCCAAAACATGTCCTTGTGTACCGCGGTGGGAACTTGGTTTCAGATGAGCAGCATCCATCTTTTAAGGACCGGGTGGATCTGCAGGGCAGACAGATGAAGGATGGAGACGTGTCTCTGATTGTGATGAATCTGACAATAAATGACACTGGAACATACGAGTGTCGTGCGTTCACAAGTGGAACAAACTGCAGGAAGAAAGCAAATCGCAGTGTCGAGCCCATCAGCATCATCAACCTGAGTGTTGTTGATCCTCCAGGTGAGTGAATAGAGCTGAGTGTGTGTGTGATCAGAGGTGAAGCTGCTTCCTGGTTGTTGATGTTTGTTTCTAAAGATGTTGTTGATGAGACTTTGTAGAAAGCAGCTGGTCTGAGTGATGTGATCAGAGTGCAGTAGATAATGTCTGACAGCAGTTTGAAGAGGAAATGGATTCTGTTCTGTTCTTCACTCATCACCTACCTGACAGCTGACACCTCACACCTGTTTCTCACCTGCAGGTCAGACAGGAGGACACACAGAGGGTGGAGTCAGTGGTCTGGTAGCAAGTCGGTCCTTTTTGGTGCTGGGTTTGTTGTTGTTGGGAGTGTTACTGGTTTTATGATCAATAGAAAAACATAAAACCAGTAGTTCATGTTCTAAGAGAACATGAACAACGAAACTTGTGAAAAAATCAGGTCAAAATTCACAGCAGTATACATAATCACAAGAAATTACACTAAATATTCAGGTCAGTAGAAATGTTTGGTGATTTCAAGGAAAAATGTCATCCATTAAAAATAACTGGAAACATTAGTGATGGAAAATATGTTTAAAATGATCTAATCTTAGGACAACTACAAAAAAGAAAAGAGATTAACGATGTGTTGTTCAAAGATCAATGCATTGGACTAAACCAGCTTGTTTAAACAGTCTGGTCACTCAATTTGTGACAGATGGATTTCAGTCATTAGTTAACACAGCATCTCAGATCATCTTTTTATCAGCAACTTAAAATAACTGCAGTCAGAGATCTGAGAAACTGACACTTTATTAATTCACACCATGTTTTTTCATCAAGCTACGACACGCCTAAAACAGATTCAGCATTAGTACAGTTACATGAAAACAACCATAATATCTGTAAGCATGGGACAGAAGAGAAAGCCTCATCAACCACAGATGCTAACAAGTCAAAACCTCAACTTCTGGGCCCTGCACTCAGCAAAGTCACTGAGCATCTTTACAGACTTACCCCCTTTTCACTTATGAAATGAGTATTATGGCTTGTGAACTTTGGAGTGTGTGGAATGAGCTGCTCTGCTTCTGTTTTGTAAACATGTTTCATTTTGGGAATGCTTCGTAAGCTTTATTTCAGTTTTTTTAGTGCAAACTGGGATTCCATAACCAGCTAACTAAGGCTACGTCCACACGTACATGGGTATTTTTGAAAATGCAGATTTTTCTATGCATTTGCACCTTTCGTCCACACGTAAATGGCATTTTCGGTCACTGAGAACGGAGATTTTTAAAAACTCCTGCCAGGGTGGAGATTTTCGAAAACTCCAGTTTTGCATTTACGTGTGGACGAGGAAAACGGAGAAAACGCAGCGTCAAAGGTGTGCACATTTTCTGGCGTCACACTGTGCGCCACGTTATTGTTTTGGTGAAATGAATTTCTACAATGGTGGACTTGGACAAAGTACTGTTACTGTTTAATTGTGCTCTCTGCAGTGTTTAAATGCTTACATATACACACAGTTACTGTCCCTCCACACATTGGACTCCTTTCTGCTTCTATGCACCATCTTTGTTTATGCTTTCCCACCCAGGCTTCTACGCTTCTGATTGGCCAACATTTCTACACGGTTAGGAATATATCACCACCTGTAGCTTCGGCATGTTCTTAGTAGCGTTTTCCTTCGTTTTTGGCGTTTATGTGTGGACAGGTTTTTTTTTTTTTAAAGACAAAAACGGAAAATCTCCATTTTAAAAAATACCTGTGTACTTGAGGACGTAGCCTAAGACTAGTGTGAGGGTATTTTTGGTACCAACCAGCGAGAGCATGAGGCTCAAAGGATGTTGGTCAACATTTACTATATTTTATAGGATTTTTTTGTTTTGTAAATAGCGAGCTACGTTAAACAAGAAGAAAACATGGTGGCTAATCCACCACTAAGTCCAAGCTCTTTAATAAACATGACTGTTTATGTGACATTTTTTTGATCTTTTGCATGTAACCTGCCAAGGGACTGAAAATGCAAATCAGCTCTAAGCTAACTACACTACAATGCGTATAAAGGTCCCTTTTCAAACTAAGATAACGATAAACTTGATTAATCTCAGACTTTTCAGAGAAGTCCAGTGTGCCAGCTCAAATCTGGGTAACAAATGTAACTTCAGTTTGATATTTGCCTAAAAAGTAAAAATATAATTTTGATTTTTAAAAAACTTTTTGTAATACTTCTAATGTACTTGTGTTTTCTAATTTTTCTGAAAGGTGGTCAAACAAATTTCATAAACACTGTACTTGAGGGAAAAGTGAAAGTGAAGAAAAAAAAATTCCTGAGAGTGCAAAGAAATGTTTGCATTATTGTTAACGTGTTACACGCTGAGAGAAGTTTTGTATCACTGTAAATATTTCATGATCAAACTTAATGAAGCTGCTGAAAAGCAAACATCCGAATTGATTTACCCCCTTTTCAGAATGCAAAAGGTGCAGTTTGTGTTTGCTTTGCTACATTTCAAATTAAAATGACCAATTTGAGAATCAAATTTCACAATAATGCAGTAGTTCTCTTTCATATATAAAGGGTTACCAGGACAGCGTATTTTTAAACATTTCAAAAGTAGCAGCAATGTAATAAGAACGAACTGATGTCAATCTGTTTTTATTTATTTTATTCATTATTGTGTCTCTTTGTGAGGTTTGACAGTGACTCTATGAACTACTCTGTTTAGTCATCATCAGTGATTTCATGGGATTTGCTGGTAAGTTGGGAAGTCCACTACATGTATTTAATGTCCTGTATGTTACTGTATGAGTGAGTCAGGCTCAGCTATTTGTAAAATCAAACTTGTTCTGTGGTGTTCGAACAGCACAAACTGATCCTGTGTAGAGATCAGCTGTTACAGTATAATTGCACACACGTACTGAAACAAGTGAGGACAAAAACACTGTATGTGATGACATCAGTGTAGATGGAGTGTTCTGTATTATGAACCCAATGAGAGAAGTATGTTCGACTTAACTCCAGAGGGAGCTCATATCATTTTAATTTAACTTTAAAGAGCTTTTCACATATTATTGATTCATCTCCTTTAATATAATAAAATGCTTCATCATCAAAAGTTCTCCATTATGTGAGTCTGTCTGTTCATTGCTAATAAAGTTTTGCATAATATTTTTATTAATTTAGTCTTTATTGTTTTTGAGATTTCACTGGTTTTATTGAAGATACTTTAATGCTACTGTCACGGGACCGAGTGGTCTGTACTGAACAGGACTCAGATGCAGAAACCCAGAGCAGAGACAGCAGATGATGTAACAATAATTTATTAGGCTTAAGTGCAAGAAACATAACAAGGACAAAAAAAAAAACCAATAAGACGTGGAGTTTGACATGGCTAGGGCGAGGGAACGGGGCCTGAGATGCAGAGCGGAGCTGAGCAGGGAACAGTCGTTGATGTGTTGATGACGAACTGACAGTGAATGAACATCAACGTGTGGTTTAAATCCCTCTGGCTTGATTGCCTGCAATAGGCTCCAGGTGTGCGGGAGCTGGAGTTGGCCCTGCCCAGGGGTGGATCCCAGGTAAGTTCAGGAGCCTTATGGAAATTCCAGCCACCCACCGCAGACCATGACAGCTACTTCTTTAAAAGCGTATAAGAACTATTTTTTTAATATTATTTGGTATTTTCACACAAGATTAAGGCTATGTCCACATGTAAGTTTTTGAAATGTACTGCGTAAGTTGCGTATTTTTGAAAATGCAGCTTCTTCTGTGCGTTTCGGCCTTTCGTCCACATGTAAACGGGATCAGTGAAAACTGAAATTTTTATAAACTAAACTGGAGCAATTCTTGAACGGTCTTTTAGTTCAGTTAGCCACACAGCAGCCATATTACTGGTCAGATAATTGCATTAAAAAGAATACAGCAGCACAATCACGGTCAGAGGTCCACATCCAACAATTAGCTGCCTAGTTAGCAGCTAGAGATGCCCGTGTTACCATGCTGTCAATCAAAGAGGCCACACCCCTAATAATGAAAGGGTTGGGCTTTAATACAAATTTAAAATATATTATATAAATAAATTTAAAACAAAATCTCCATCTGAGCTGCAGATACAGATCTCAGTCCTGGAATTAAACTTGAAGAATTGGATGCTTTTAATTTGAAGGACTGAATCAAAAAGTTTATTCAAGAATAGGGGAGAGAGGAGCACTTTATTCTCCATCTGGCTGTTTTTCTGGCAAAGATATGTTTTGTTTGTGTTTAACCCTTTAAGAGCTACCATAGAACCAAGTCCGCCAGAGCTTATCTTTATATTTTTAGATGCTGTAGTGCCATTTGTGGGAGTATTTCAAGTTGCTATATATCAATACAACCATCACATCCCAAATTTTAATAATATGTATGCATTAAGTCTATAGTAACTACATCAATTCATAAAAAGTGCAATAAACTACAAAAAAACATGAAAATAGTTTTTGTGTTTTTTACTTATATTTATAGTTAGAGAAAATTCAAACGTTTATCCATCAAAACTGTAAATAGAAAAATGATGCACAAAGTAGTTTCCAACCACAGGAAGTTTATTTTGAGTGTCTTCATAATTTTGTTTTTGAGATACACCAATTTTTATATACTGCAGGAAAAACGAAAGTAAATATAATGCAGATTTGCAAAAAGACAGCATGTGCATCAAAATAAACTACTTCAGTGTAACTTGAGTTCAACAGCCGATCAGATCGGCAAAGCGTGTTTCTGGAATATTGTGTTTTTGTTGCTACAAGTGCTTTTTATGCAGTTTTTGCAAAGCCACATGTGGAAGGAAACCATGACCTAGGACAAGCTGAATGCATTACATGTAAGTACAATTCCTCATATGCAAAAAAAAGTGCACTGGAGAGTAACAGCACCCTCTAGCAATCATTTCCCTGTACCTTATTAAAATTGGTATATTATTGTGAGAAGTATTATTATTATAACCTTAATTCACCTCAACTACTGACC